CACTTTACCATGCCTGGAGATCTCAGAGACTGCCTCAGTTAGCATACGTGTTATCAACGGTGGGTAAACGATGGCTGGTTCTTTTATTTTCCAATCTAATGGTGTTTTCTCTAGTTTTATTCTGAGTATTTTCTTTTTTTTCCCAGGGAAGTACTGTTGTGGTGGAAGTCTGGGATGACGACGGTAGTCAGATCGTTGGAAAACTTCATGATTTTGTGGACAAGTACACTTTAACGATAACTCGTGACGCTGATCCGGATCCAAAATTTGACACACAAGAAATAAAGACGTTATGCGGTAAACGGTCGTGTATGACCGTGATAGTCACGCTACATTGTGCCACCAGTTATCTGGTACCCGACTGTGGAATGTATTGTGTGTCACGTAACGATAGTCTTGGTCACTACCACTGTAACTATACTGCCGGGCGGAAGGAGTGTGACGAAGGATGGTATGATCCTTCAACGGATTGTGTAAAGAAGAAGAAGGTGTGTGCTCCTAGGAATGACTCCTCAGGACACTACTCTTGTGATCCTGTCAGTGGAGAGAAATTCTGCCTAGATGGGTGGACTGGGGATAACTGTACACAAGGTAATGGATCTCTTAAAGTGGCGATGCAAAGTTAACATTTTTTCCTGAGTGTAACTTAGAAATGGGGGGGGGGGGAGGGGGGGGAAGGGTCCTACAACGGTGTCTTATGGAACCAAGGAGCATAATGGGACATTTCCTATAAAAGTCTTTTTTACTTTCCCGTAATAAAAGTGGAGGACTCGGCCCTTGAGCTGTGACAAAACCACTCTTAGTAAGGTAGAAAATAATGTATTTGAATTATTTATAACTTTGTTTGTTTTCAGTTTGTCCTTTTCCGTCTTGTGAATCAAGCTGGTTCAAGTCTACAACAGAGCAAATCTCCCCTCAAAGCTCTCTAACATTAAAAGTGAGGACATCTATACCAACACCTGAGATGACGAAGTATACCACACTAACTACCACAAAACAATCTGCAGCGAATCTCACTCCTTTATCGAGAAGTTATTTAACTGCGATACAGACGCTTTCACTCCGTTCTTCAACCTCTCATCCTTTAACTGAAGGCCCAGTGAGCACCAGTCATGAGACATTTGAAACGCGTCTACAGTTCTCAACTTCATCGCTCACCCAAAATGACTCTATAAAGAAGAGTATTTTGGCTGTTCATGTTTGGTCCAGTCATTCAACACCAACGCTACAATCAAATCTGTCATCAACTCTGTCTTCGCTTTCATCATTATCAACAACCTCTTCATCAAAATCACCATTTTTATCCCCATCCTCCACGTTTCTCATTCAAATACTTGCGCATGCTTCCATATCTTTCTCTACTACATCGCCGACCACATGTGCATCGACTTTCCATTATGTTCCCAGTCTTACATCCTCGCTTGATCAAAATCCTACTTTCGTGCTGGTTCCCAGTCCCACTTTCTCGCTGTTTTTCAATCCCACATTCTCGATGAATCCCAGCCCAAGTGCAGGCCGTCCAAAAAATGGCGTAGAAATTGAAATGAGACCTGGGTACAATGTAAGTAATTATTTTTCTTTAATCACTTTTTTTCTAAGAGTATCGAGTGATTTGAAAGTGATGGTAATGCTTATCTTGTGAATAAAAATAGTAGCATGCCATTGACAGCTTCTAGAGCACTCCTTTTACTCGGCGTTTAGTTTGGGACAAAATTTGCGATCCGACCTCGACAGTGAACCAGCTATCCAGACTGACAAAAGAGTGACAGATACTTTAATTTCCACAAGAAGAGGTCTTACTGTAGTCATTAAACTCGAGGCTCAGTATTTATCTAAGAAGTGGAACGCACGAGAACACGAAAAAAGTGTAAATCACGAGCCAGGGGCAAGTAAATTTCAAACTTTTCGAGTATTCTTCTTATTGCACCGCTAAAGCGATAGAAAGTGCGGTGTACGTGCTATTATAAAACAAAACACCGTATTTTTCCATTTTCCTTGGGTTTACCGGTGCAATTAACGAATCATAGATTTTCGACCAATCAGGGCGCTCGTATTACCTCAGTTATCTTCCACCTCCTCCAACAGTCTCTTCTCCTTTTCTCATCTCCTCTCTCTCCCATTTTCTCATATCCTTACCTTTCCTCTTTTACTTACTGTCCTTACTAGATTCTACATCACTTCAACTGTTTTTAGGGTTTCCGCACATGCACGCACTGTATCAACCCTTTTACGATAATTGTATATTATTTCATATGTTTTCTTTTGCAGTGGACAAGAGAAAGTGAGGAACAAGTTAAACTAGAGTTGATTAGTACTATCAATAAATTCTGTATGAAGCATTTACGACCATGTCAAATTACTACGAACGCAACCTTAAACAGGTAACGAAATAAGCTGTGATGTCTTGGAATTCAAGACGGTATTAGTAACTTATAATTTAGGGTAGGCAACGATCTGTTGTTGCTTGGAGTGCTTGTCGTTTGGTTGTCGTAAAAACAACACCAAAGTGATCACAACGACAGATCAGAAGAAAGATGAAAAACCTTCGGAGCCCGCAATGACAACTCATATTAAAAACAAACAAATTACCGAGAGCGCGGGAAGACGCGGGTGACCAAGTGGCGATTGATTTTAGTTTTGCATCTGATTGGTTGAGAGAGAGTGGCGCGAGTTTTCTGAACCAATCACAGAGCGAAGTAAAGCAAAAGCAAAGCAATCCAAGATTACTTTTGACGCTCAATAGAAAGTTGCTCTATCTTGCCTGTGATACACACATGACAAAATAAATTTTCTGATATATTTTACAGATATATTCCTGTCACTATTGTTTTTTTTTTGTTTTTTTTTTTTCTCAAGAACGGTATTTAACATGTCACATGTCGTTTTGAAAGTTGTGCATGGCTTAGACGGGAAAGTCTACGTCCGATGTAAAGTGAAGATTCCCATGAACGTACCACATGTACCCGGCTCAGGTGAGGTCCAGTTATAATTGTGCCTTAGATTATAATACCTCTTTTTGTTTGCGTCGCAGGTGTAGAAATTGCTCATTGATGGGTTTTTACTATTCTATGCTGTCTGTAGTAATGACTTTTTTTCGGTTGCATTGCATTCCCCCACGCAAAAATTCATGGTGTTCTTGCGTGTATCTGCTCCTTTGAGGTATATATTCTATGTGAAAAAACTATTTATTTCACACATACTGAGATTTATACTGTCAAGTGTTAATGTTCGTGTCTTTGACTGGACGAACGATATAATTTCACAGTCGTTCCCTTCAAATCTTTGAAATGTGTCGGTCATTTCTCAGTAGGAATGAAACGAAAACATGATTACCAAAAAAATGCTTGCACAAGTTTTCACTCGTTGCGATGCATGAAAAAACTCGCTCGTTTGCTGCGCCCACTTGGTCGTATTTTTTTTTTTTTTTATGCATCGCAACGAATAAAAATTGTACAAGCCCTTTCCATGGAATAATCTCTGTTATCTCGTCCTGAGACGAGGATTAGAAAAAGATATCTACGTTTTTTTTTCTTTCTTGTATTTCATTCTTTTCAAGGATACTTGCCGTCTGTTGTACTCAAACGAATAATTTTGGAGAGCAAAACGCCTTTGGAGAAGAATCTTGACGCAAAGATTGTGACTGTCAAGGAGATCGGTTGGGACCAAATAAATCCTTCCCCCGCAAAACCGTCGTCCGCTAGTTCCAGTATCATTAGGACGATCACAGTCCAACCAACCACCAGGCAGACTCACTATCCTAGCTTCCTTCCGTATGTCTTGGTGGGCCTGTGTTTGCTTGCCGGACTGATAGTGATTGTTGCATTTTACAGGTAACTGATTCTGGAACCCTTTGCCAGTTTCTCAGTTCAATAAAGCGATGCACAAATAATCCACAAATGAAAATGCACCCTTGAATCACAAATGGAATGAGCGTTCATGCATTTCCACCACAAACCATTTTCATTTCTACTTGTCTCAGGAGGAGCAAGTTACGTCAAGCCAGAGTGCTGCCTGAACCAGAGTGCCCCACAGAGGAAGAACTGTTGGTCTTACCAAACAGGAAATCAACAGTGCGACCATTTTCAGCTCCGACTGATACAACAAGAAGGGTACGGCAGGGTTTCCAGTGATCAAAATATTTTGCAAGGTTGTTCAGGGTTGAAATAGTATTGAATACGTCGAGTGTTAAAAAGAACAATTAATAGGTCCAAGATTGCAGTAATTATTAAAAATTGCATGCTACGGAATCATATTAGTTTGCTTTCGCCGAAGTTGATCTTCCGATTTTTATTTCACCAGGATAACTTTCACAACGACTCCCAGTTACTTCACGAAAGTTCAGAAGGCTCCAGTAGACGTCAGAAATACGTAACCTTTCGATCAGAATCGCGTCTTCATGAATTAAATAACCTTTATGTGAAGTCACTAAATAAAAACAAAGACTCTGTTGACACTTGCCACGAGGAGAAAAACTTATTCCTGTCGTTTGAGAGACTGCAAGAACTCACTTTGCCGGGGGTTTTCATCAAAGATAAGGATGGACACCCCTGACCACTACAAGATCAAGCAAAACTGTGGCAGAACGTGGGTTAAACTGGTCGGCCGAAATTTTTCGCAGACACCGACTTCGATAAAAATCGATATATCATCTGTAATGCAAGAGTTTTATTTAGTAATCAAGGTTATGCCACATGTAATTAAGGCTCGCGTGAAAGGAATGAAAGCGTAAATGAGCCCTAACTTTACGCCGCAGCGCCTTAGTTTTACGACTAAGGGGTACCAGATGAACTGCTAGTGGTCGTGTATCAATCACGGGCCGCTTGTTCGAATGCTACTTCGCTCCAACCCTGGAGTACGAGTCAACCCTTTACAACCCTAAAATTAATATCCATAATCTCCATACTCCTCTCTGTACATTTCTCAAGGTGCTGACAAGGAGAATTCGTTTAACAGTCAAGAGATTCTGTAGTTGGTGATCATTTCCTTTATTCTCTTAACCTTAGGGAGTGATTCAGGGATGATGATGATGTGAGAGGAAATTAGATGCTGGTCAATCTTAGGGTGTAAAGGGTTACACTTTTTTTTTTTAAGAGTTAAGAGGGGCTGATCGGTTTTGGGCTTTAATCTTGAATTGAGGGAAATCTGAACGAAACATGTAAATAGTAAATTTGTCTGCACAGTTAACCCTTTAACTACCAAGATCTTATTTGTAATTCTCCTAACTATCTGCTGTACAGTTCTTGTGATGTGTGTTTGGAGAATTTGGTATTAGATCAAGTTATAATCTCTTAACTGATATTTGCCTTTATTCTTATTACTTGTCTGCTTGATATTGTATTGATATTGTAAGGAGAAATTATGTCTTGGTCACTCATGGGAGTTGAAGGGTTAAGAAAACCACACAGAACATTTATAAAAACTATTATAGTTACCTAAAGATTATTCTGAACAGCTACCCAATGGTGATTAATAGCAAGATGTTGATATTGCTGATTTGAGCTTACAGTAATGTATATATTGTACTTCTATTTAGCAAAACAAACAAGAGCATTTGAAATAAGACTCTATGTTTCCCTGTACAATAATCTTTAATCCTAGATTAGATTGTTCAAAGTTAAGATGCTTTACAGGGAGGTTTTATTAAGGCCACAGCAGATTACATGTAGACTTGGAATCACAGAAATACACTTCTATCACTACAGACTCAGATATACATGGCACTTGTTTCAACACATTCTTTATCACCAAGCCCTCTGGTTAAGACTTTGTTGAGAACACTTCACATGTACTGGTAGGTCCACTCTAAGCCTGTGATGTGGTGTGCCACTTAAAGTTTTAACATTATGTCCATGTAAAGATTTTATTTATTGAATCTCCTTTGGAAAATTCAGTGCATTTCAGTGATACTAGCTTTTTAAGGTTAGAGATGAAGATTGTATAAGCAGAAGAAAATGTTGTTTCTCTGTCTTGATGTTGGTCAAATCTAAGAAATAATTTTTCTCATTTGTGGGAAATGCTTGACCACTTTTTCATGTCCATCTCATGCTGATCAACAAAAGGTTCTCTTACTCCCATCTCACTGTTCTCTCTGACTTTTAAGACAAAAGCTTGTCCCATGTCACTTGTCTTTTTAATCATCAGACTTTTTAGGTGGTTTCTCATATTCCTGTGCTTTGGAGAAAAGGTATTCCATGGCATTGTGAAGATCTGGCAGCTGTAGGAATGAGAGAATGTTGTGGTGAAATGACAAAATGCAATAATAATTATGTTAACTTGTGTTCATGTACAAGTAGAAGGGTTTTTATTTTTTCTCATTAAGAACAAATCATGGTCTCGTTACTTTCCATGGATTTTAGTAATAATAATAATTAAAATAAAGTGAAAAAGGTTATTCACCCAAGGTATTGCCTGTATTTTTTCTCTCAGTAGAACTCTTCTCCCCCATTTTCCATTCAGCAATATTGTTCAAAAATCAACTCTTCTAAACCACATCAAATATTAACAACATATTTCTTGGGACAGATCATGCTTTGTGAACCTCTGATAGCTCTAAAGTATTGAACTGATCCAAAGGATTACTGTGGTAGTTCTCCTAAGTAGTATTACGCTATGCTAAACAGTGAACTCACTGATATGTTCTCAACAACTTGAGGAATTTCTGTGAGGATTTTTGCCTAAACGTACCTCATATGTTTGAGCTAAATAAACACCAAAGATATTTCCAACCAAAAGACCAGTCTGTAAACAAAATATTGCAACAAGCTATAATTAAATTTAAGCTAGAACCAAAAGGCAGGTGCTACGCAGTGTGTGGCTTTAAAAACATCCAGATTATCTCCTCAGAATTTAGTGGACCACAGTAAGGTAGTGTTACTTGGAATATACATAATTCTGGGGCCCACATAGTTCAACAGTTTTTACTGTGCAAAGGTTATCAGCTATTTTAAGTGGTTAGTACAGAAGGGGAATCTCTGAAGGGGATTATCTGTACCACTGTTTAGGGAAACCCAAAAATTTACCAGGATTTAGTTGTATTCCGTGGTAAAAACTTAAAATCATTACTTTTAAGTGTCTGGCAAATAACCTCACATATGCTTGTTGATCAGAGTCAGTAGAGGATTTCCTCAACTCACTCTGTGCTGATCAAAGGTTGATGGTTTAATGGTAAATTTGCCCTTTATCATTTCGTTCTTACATGGAATTCAATGGGAAACATCCTTCTGGCCTTTTTTTTTGAATATAGTACTACTAGTGATGATAAAATATTTGGGATTTTGTGGTCTGCTTCTTTTTGAAGACAATCAATTCCGGAATGAAAGGAATACTAACTTATAAGCAATTAGCGGAACCCCATTCTTGAGGATAGTTAGAGCACTGCCTCGCCCTTCTCCTGGTCCTGGTATTTCCAGTAATGAGAAAAATCCTACAATATGTAATTCCTCTTCATTCTAACTTATGTTCTATTGCTTATTTGAAGACAACCTTGTGCCCTGGGAAGGTTCATGATGCGACCATAAAATTGCCAAACATCCAGGGTAAATAGATGTTGATATACTTACAACAAGAGAAAACAGCTGAGTTGAGGCAGGCATAGTGAGTGATACCTCTGTTCATAAGATGAACATTCACCCTATATTTACTTTTTTGCCGTAAGGATTACCGTGAGGGAACTCAGCCCAACTTTTGTGAAACTTTTGCGCCCGCGATATACGTATCCAGCAGTACCTTTTCATCATGGCGGCCAATATGGCGAGAAGAACTAGTCAGTGTATTTTCCGCTCCTCGAGAAAGATGTTCTCATTTCCTATGCGTCCTAGAAATACAGATCAATTACGGATGAGTAGTATCAATACTGAAGGTAGGTCATTCGCGTAAACTTTTTATTTTTACGATCTTTCACGCTAGGTAAGGCAGCTGGGACCGTGCAGCAACGCCTGCATTCAGATCTAGAAACATGGGCTGGGCTACGAACTGATTTAGTTTTAGTTACACTTAAGAAGTAATTCCCCCATTGTACATTTGTTTACATAATGGGGGGGGGGGGGAAGGGGGGGAGTCATACATGTAGAATTCACATTATTTTTTTCACTCCTAAGATCTCGGTGGTAATTCTTCTTTCTGTCTGCTATACTAGTCTTAAAATGTTAGTGTGGAGAATTTGGTAGAAGGTCAACTGATAATCCTCTTATTGGCATTTTTCTTAATTTCTCATCACCTGTCTGCTTGATTCTTAATTTCTCATCACCTGTCTGCTTGATATTGTAAAGAGAAATTTGGTCTTGGTCGCTTATGTAAAGTATGAAACGTTAAAATTAAAAACATGTTTAAAGACATATCTGTATTTCCTTTGATTTCATCTCAGCTTTTGGAGCCCAGGATATTGTTGATCAGCCTAAAAAAAGGAAACAAGTCAGGAGGATGCAATCTGTTATATGCAAGAAAAATAGGCATGATCCTGCAATGGAAAGAGCAGCCAGAGAAGGATCTTGTAAGTCATGCCACAAAGTTGTTGTATAATTATGTAAGGCTGGAAATAAGTGTTTATGATACTTGAATATTAGTATATGTGAAGAGTTGTGGACAAAGCAGTTGCTGCAATTTATTCAATTATTTATTTCATTCTTATGCCGATAGTTTCCTTAATTTTCACATGGAAGCCTCCTTTTGGATATTTCACCTACTTGTAATTGCTTGGTTTATATGATGAAGCTTATTTTTAATCCAAGACTTTACTTTGAACAGTACTTATTCCGCTGGAAGCTGTTCAAAAGGAGTGGAAATCAAAGAATGAATTTTCTATAACAACAAAGCTAGCCAAGCATTATGGCATTTTTAAGCATATTTTCAATGGAGAAGAGTTCACAGCAACAACTAGGATGTCAGTAACATTTGGAGAAACAGATCATGTGATTCATGGAAATTTTTTGACACCATCTCAGGTACATCAAATTAAATGTCTTAGCAAATGTATTGCTACTGTAAGTGAAGTGTATTAGAGTTCCCAGATATGATTATGTCATTACTGATGTATTCTGGAACCAGTGAAATAATCTCAAAGATCATGGTGCTGTGGGTTAAGAAAGCTGATGATGAAGTTGCTTTCAAGTTAATTTTTTTTCTTCTGTTATGTGTTGAGCAGTGCAGAGTTGCATGCCTCACTGGAATAGTAAATCAATTTTAAAACAAACTATTCAATTATGTGATAACTTCTGTTCAAATATTTCCTGGTATGCCTTTACAATGTACATTGTAAGAGGATCGGTCTAATGGACCAATTGATGCAACAGAGAGTTTGTGTCTATTGCTTGGAAATAAAGGGTGTTTGTATGGTCATTGTATTTGTATTGTTCTTGTAAACAGTACTTTATATTGATCTATTCTTCATGGATTGATTATGAATTACTGGTAATCTCTGTAGGCTACTACTCAACCAACTGTCAGTTACACCTGTGAAGATGACAGCCTCTGGACAGTGATATTCACCAATCCAGGTAAAAGACATATTAAGTGTTGGAGTACAAGCCCCTGTGCTTAGAGTTACCACACCTGAGAAAAAGGGTTTTGAAAACCATATTGAATTTCCTAAACACCCAAGGCCTTTCAGAAATATGAATTCCTATTTGTACTGAGTTGTAAAATAAATTCTTTTCTCCATGTTACATAGAACTTAAGTCAGACATTCTTTTAAAATGTAACTGGAAAAATGCTCTTTATTTTTAATTTTTTTCTTTTTCATTTCTGATCTGCTCTAACCCTTTGAGCCCTAAGAGTGACCAGCATCCTATTTCTCTTTACAGTATCACCCCTGAATCAAACATTTAGGTCATGAGAATAAAGGAAATGATCACCAACTGAAGAAGCTCTTGATTGTTAAACAAATTCTCCTTGTTAGCACCTTAGGAAATGTACACTGTATAGGGAACAGTATGGAGAATATCCATACTGATATTAGGATGTTAAGGGTTCATTTGTAACTTTCAAATTTGTGCGAATTGGCAGTAGACTTGATAAAATGCAAATTCTGGTAAAAAATTTTGTATAAGTAACAACATGATTTTGAGTGCAATTTGGTAAATTTTTCTAAGACAACAAAATTGCATGAGCCTGTAGAGCGAGTGCTATTTGCAGTCTGAATTGGCAGTAGACATGATAAAATGCAAATTCTGGTAAAAAATTTTGTTTAGGTAACAACATGATTTTGAGTGCAATTTGGTAAATTTTTCTAAGACAACAAAATTGCATGAGCCTGTAGAGCGAGTGCTATTTGCAGTCTGAAAAATTTACAAGTGCTAATATACATGGCATTGTAAGTGAAATCATGTTGTTACTTGTTAATAATTTACATGAAAAATGTATCACAAATAGTCAAGAGGGACAAAATTTGGCAATGCATACTATTTGTAATTTGCACTCATGTTACAACTTTTCACTCGTGTTACATGCAAAATTCACTTGTTTTCAGCCAATCAGATGTGCATGATTTTTTCATGTATAATATTAATTTAGTTATTACATATTAAAGTTTTTGTCATAATTAATTTTATAGATGGTAACTTGATAGAGAGAGACACAGAATTTTTACATTGGATGGTGTAAGTTTTTTATCTATTCATTTGTCTTTTTATTGATTAATCAATAATGTATTATTTATTATCATTTTGTTGACCATTTTCTTTGAATTCCTTTTCTAGTTCAGAAAGCTAGTGCTAGCTAGTGTTTTCATAAGGCATACAGCAAAGATTGTTTTGAAATCCAAGTAAAATTAATACACAGATGTCTTACTGCAGTTACCTAACCTTACTTCTACTACCTCCTTTATTTAGTGATTTTCCTTACTCTCTGATTTTAGGTTAAAGAATTTGGTATTGGATCAACTGATAATCTCCTAATTGATATTTTTCTTCGTTCTCATCTCATCACTTGTCTGCTTGATTTTTTATTAACCCTTTAACTCTCATGAGTGACCAAGACAGAATTTCTCCTTAATGCATCAATACAATATCAACCAAATAAGTGATGAGAATAAAGGAAAATATCAATTTGGGGATAATTAGTTGATCCAATACTAAATTCTCTGAACTAACATTATGAGAATTGTATGTTTAACAGTAAGGAGAATGACAAATTTGATCTGGGAGTTAAAGGGTTAATATTCATTGTAAGGACAAATTCTGTGTTAGGTGCTCATGGGAGTCAAAGTGTTAGTAGGGAAAGCATTCTTTTTAAAGAACAAAATGTATTTGCTTCATCAGTGATGCAAAATGTTGAAGACTGTAGTAGAAAACTAAATATGGCATAACATGTATGGAGATTTTAATCTTTCTTTTATTGCAGTGTCACCTGATGCATTTTGTTTTGTTTTCAGAGGAAATATTCCTGGCTCAAGAATAAACGATGGCGATGTTCTTTGTGATTATCTTCCACCAGTGCCAGCCCATGGGACAGGCTTTCATAGATTTGTTTTCTCTCTGCTCAAACAAACTGGCAAATTGGATTTAAGAAGTCATGTCTGTATAGATGGAAGGTATGATTAACCCAGTTTAGTCAGGTTGTTGAAAAAACATAACAGGAAATGGTGACATGAAGCTTCTCCTTGGGAGTCATGTTTCAGAAGCCCCATTGTAACTTTTGACCTTTGATAGTTAGAATGCATCATTGGTTTTTTTTTTTGGTCAATAAAATTTACTTGTACATGTGCATCTAGACCAATTGAAAAGATAGATTTGAATAGGCAGTGATTGTTTCTTTAAAGTTATGGATGCCTTCTGAAAAGGTTAGCAGAGGTACCACTCTTAATCCTTGACTGTAAGGCTTAAGAGTGGTACAAGGTTTAACCCTCTGCCCCCTAAGAGTGACTAACATCAATATCTGTAATTTCTCGTCACACCATCACCCCTGAATCACACATCAAAGTGGTGAGAAAAAAGGAAATGATCAATAAGCAAAGAAGCTCTTGATTGGTAAACAAATTCTCCTCGTCAGGAACCTTAGGAAATGTACAGAGAACAGTATGGAGAATACCTATACTGATGTTGGGGTGTAGAGAATTAACAGTGTATGGTTCACTCTACAAAGATTGACATGGGTGGAAAACCAGCCCTTTATGTAAAACCCCTTTTCCAGGGCCCTTGCTCTTGGGACTGATTACTCTGTCATTAATTTGTTAAATACTTTGTAGTCTTTTCTGTCAACACTTTCTGTCATCCAGCTTTTCAGTATGGATTTAAAAATTTGGAAAAGTTTCCAACACAAGATCAGACTGCAAAATCTGCTGCTTTTTCTCTAATTCATTTGTATATCAGAGTTAATGAACAAGTGTGATACATTATTTTCAAATGTCATTAAGTATTGTATATTCTAAAAGTATGATTTTCAATTTTCAATTTTCAACAGAGATATATCCAGTCGCACATTTTCTACAGCAAAGTTTATATCTGATCATAACAACAACTTGACTCCAGCTGGACTGTGTTTCTTCCAAGCTACCTGGGATGAGAGTGTTACTCAAACATATATGGAAAATTTAGGTATGGTGTCTTTTTTAGTATTTATTGAATGTAGAATTTACTTAGTATACAAGGTGTGCATGTTGACAAACTTAAGTCATGTTGACTTAAAAGGGATATCAACTCCTATCATCAAACATTTTAGCTTGTGCATGATTTGTCTAAAGGCATGATTTGACAGAACATTCCCCTCTAAAACCGGGTGATATTTGGGGATATCACCCAAGTGATATTCCCCAATTTTCAAACCTTACATCCACTATGACAAATCTTCATTTACGATTTAATTTAACCCTTTAACTCCCAAGATCTCAATAGTAACTTTCCTTACTGTCTGCCATAAAGTTCTTGTGATGTTAGTTTAGAGATTTGGTATTGGATCAACTTATAATCTCCTAATTGATATTTTTCTCTATTCTCATCACTTGTCTGCTTGATATTGTATTGATATTGTAAGGAGAAATTCTTTCTTGGTCAGTCATGGGAGTTAAAGGGTTGAGATGGGAGAGCAGGAAGCATTTTGTGGTTGTTACAGAGGAAGGGAATATTTAATTGTTCATAAGGTTGTACCAGAGAACATTAAAAAGAAAACATCTCACGCAGCATGGGAAGCTTTTTGTTAACATTTTTTCATACGCATTGCAATACATTTGAAGGACAATAAACACAATAGCCTCAATTTTGTGCAAAAATATTCTTGTATATTTATCCTTGGACATAATCTGTTCCTCCAAGCTCACAGTTTTTCTTGAGCCTCTAGAGGAACTGTTCACAATACGTAACAGATAATGTCTGTGGACAAATATCCATGCATATTTTGGCACAGAAAAGAGGCTATTTTTTATTTACTGTAACCAGTCTTTTAAATAAAAACTTTGAATGTCTTAGCAGTCAGCAGACCTTTTACATTTGAGAGTGATAATTATTATTATGCTAGTGTGCCCATGTAGTCTCCATCTGTAAGGGTGTTTAACATGTCTATGCATTTTAGTGTCAAGATAGCAGGGCTAAGTGGAAGCCTAGTTTATGCAGACCTTGACTTTGTGTAGTTCTATAAATGCCACTTGTAGAGCCATGAGTGGGTAGCCTGTAAGCAGGTTCTTATTCTTATCACTGGAAGTTGTGAATTTGGGGAGAGGTTTGCAAGGGTGTGGCACCATGTAAGACCCTTTAAAGACCTCTCATTGGCTCACATTGCTCAAGGCCAATGATAATGTGTTAAAAATGAGGGCCAGCTTGAAAGTCTTAAATAGGGTGTAAATTGGTGTCTGTGTCTCAGACTGACTGTTATTTGGGTGTTGTATATGAATCTCCTAAGATTCCAGCTGAACTCAGAGGTGTACATGAATAAACACAAATCCTGAGTATAAGAGAAAATCTTATATCTGGTGCATAGTTTTGTTTTTGATGTACTGTTTTTTTGCTCTCATTCTTATCATAATTATTGTCATAATTATTTTGATGATTATGGCTATTGATCCAGGGATCAAATCCATTTTTCAGGTATGACAGAACCTGTGTTTAAGCCTAAAGAATTCTTAACACCTGAACAAATCAGGAAAATTGTTATCAGAGAAGTGTCTGAGAAGAAATACAGGAATATGTGAAATCATTTACAAGGCTGGTGAACGATGACCACAACTTGTAAATATCATCTGTAATAAAAATGCTCTTCCTTCACACTGTTTCAATGTAAATAAAACAATTCCTTAAACATTCTTACATGAAATTTGTATTTTGTTTGATCTTCATGCAGTTAAACTTATTTTTTCCTATACATCATATTTCTTGTAAATCCATCTAGAAAATTTGGAGATATATAGAGGATATTACACCATGGTCAGAAGATATTAATTTTATGTTGGAGTGACTAGAACAATGTCTTGCAAGTGAGAGCAACAAACAAGTGAGATATTGTTCTTGCCTCAAGAACATAAACTTTATATCTTCAAGCTAACATTTAATATACTCTATTTATTAATAAATATACATTATGATTATAAAGATTGCTTGTATTTTCATGAGTGTATCATCCTCTATTTCTCTTGTCTCTTGTCTTGTTGCATTTTTTGAGAGAATCTCAGATTGTTGTTACGGTGTATTTAAACTGAGAGAAAGAATACTATACTGCTACAAACTCAACTACTTAATTAAACCACAAAACATAAGATAATTCTTATTTAGAAGTGACTCCTGGAGGCCCTACAATAATCATCCTTTTAAGACTTACTTAAACTCACTAAAGACTCTTAAGTCAGCTAAAAACATTCTCATCCATATAATAAAGCATGTCAATTTTGTTTCATTTGATATGTACCAATTCTTGTAAATTTTTCTGGTCAGTTTGTTGATGCACAAGGTGTACTAAATAATCAGACTGTATGTATTTATGTTTGATTACTTTGTGTCAAAAATATTTATACAGATGAGCTAGGTATACCCCACAACATCTAAACCAATGGAAAGTTATCCGTGTAGAGTTCACTTTAGTTTGATCCTCATGTCTGTGTTTTCTATCTCAGCATTCCACTTTGACTGATAACTTGTACCTTGGCATTGATAATTCATGTTGTTATATACCAACTCAGTAAACTTTCACTCAACAAAACAAGCACTGTGATTGGTTAATTCTTGATCATGTGCCCCTTGATCAAATTCAAATGTATCCCAACAGTGATACAATTGCACAGTGGTTGCATGTGAGCTGAATACAACAGCATGTTTTTACCATATGATTGTTTAAGGGAAAGTCTAAATATACAACAAAGCACTAACTGTATGGTCCCTTGGGAAACTTGTTAGTTTTGTTTTCCCTCATTTCCCTTAAGTTTGTCTCTGGAAATGTCAGGACTCTTGGGAAAACAAAACTAACTGTTTCCCTCAGAACCATACTTCAAACTTCTGCAAACTCAGAGGGAATTATCTTTTTTAGCAGATTGTTTAAAAAATATCATACAATAATAATTAATGAATTTGGTATGTACGTAATATCATGAACTATCAAACCTCATGTCTGTGTTATCTGCCTTTGGCTTTGGCAGATAACTGAGACCTTGACATTGATAATTCATGATGTCATGCCCAACCTCATCCAATAATTGCTATGGAGAATGAAAAATATCAGTAATCATACAATGTTTTTTTCACAGACTGTGTCCCTAATTTCTTCCTAGCCAGAGGCATTATCTTGAAATATACCATGTTAAATCACCAGATGAGAAATGATTTCAAAAATAATGATTGACAAAATGCAACACTGTGTGATAACTTAAAAATATTTTAATATTGCTCCAAATAACTTTAGCTACCTGGAATGATTTAATTCATTAGGTTTTTGCCAACAATACAGTTACATGTCAGTGCATGTGTTGTGCCAATCAATTCAAAGCTTCAGTATACCCCAAACAACCCATGACCATTTGACCATTGTCCATACCTGGATGGGGAATTTGAACCAGAAGGGTCAAGTGTTTTCAGTGGCATGGAAATGGAGTGGAATGGAGTCTGAGGTGTTTAAAGGTAACTGGTAGGTGATAGTTCAATTTCACATTGAAATGGCTTAGAAAAAAAGATCTTGGTTTTAAAGCTCAGTCAATGTGTTACAGAATATAATTTTTACACAATCCATATCCTCAAAAGTTCAAATGCCCAAAGGGTTGCCCGATGGGGGGAGGGAGGGAAGTTGAAGCTTCAAATTGGTTGACGCATAATATGCAAGTTACCTGTTAAATCCATGCACATGGAGTTTTCTGTAGATTACATCTAAGGTGACTGTTCGTCTTTCTTCAAATCAACTAAAATGATTCTATTTGAATATCACATTGTAGCCTGAATTCTCTAGTCGTAGCACTAATTATAGAGTAATTTCAGTCCTCAACCTGTTTAGTTGACTATCATTCATTTGTAGTTGTTTAAGAGGTAATTTTTGATACCATTGGGTACTGGAAGTGAATTGATTTTATTTCCTGGCACACTGTGCAAGATCACCACTCTGCACAAATGTTGCAAGTCAAATCTCATGGGCATGGCCCAAACTCGAACCATACTATCACTGTAACCAGCTGCTACATACTGTTGGGATTTAGAAAAAGCAATGGAGTAAACAATGGTATTTTGAATCCTGAGACCAAAAGGGCTAGGTTCTTTTATGCATTCTAATAAAAACAGTGAATCCAGAGTTTCAGCCCCAAGCATAATAATATTGGCATCTGACGTTCCAACAGCAATCATCTTCCCGTCAGGAGAATACTGACAGCAGTGCAACAGTCGGGAAAATGATACTTTACGTTCTTTCTCCCGCGCATAGCGCAGTTCTCCAGCATGGGCACTTGAATGAACTTCAACCTTGTTCCAGATTTCCACGCGACCGTCCTGCATACAACACGCAAGCACCTCGAATCTCCACGCAGGATTAAAAATACTCCAGCACACATTTCCTCGGCATCTTCTCCTTAAAACGGTCACGACATCCAGATTTTTGCTGCGTAAGATACACAGTTGTTCTTTGGAAGTCGAGACAGCGAGGTACTGACCATCCGGAGAAAATTCACAACGGGTAACGAAGCCACAGAAGTCTGTTATATCGCGTAAAACAACTCTCGCCTCGATCTGCATGGACTTCACGTTCCACAATCGCAACTCGTTGGTCTCCCTCATACTGTGAAAATCAAGAGAAGCAGCGCTAACAATGTGACGAGCATCTGGTGAAAACTTACAGCAAAGTGTTTGACCAGTCATTCCATTGCAACAAGGTTGAAATTTATCCACTCGCTCTGCGATTTCAGCATAAGAACTTCGGTTTCGTTTGACAAGCGCGACTTCTCCTTGTCCAGAATTAGTAATGAAAGATACAAGATTGCCGTCGGATGAGATGTCACACTCTTGCGAGTGGTAAGTGAGGAGTTCCCTTTTGCAGGACCCTGAGTTGATGTCAAATTCTCTTAAATGGCCACATCCGATATCAGGGGTAAACGGTCCACAAGGAATCGGTGTAGTTGACGTCAAAAGCAGAGCTTCGTCGTCTGGCGAAAAAACACAACAGTGAACCTCTTCGTGAAACCTTCTGGGTTGTTCATCTTCTTCATCTTCGTCTTCTAGGTTTCTTACAGAACCCCGATAATGATGCAACTCAGCAACGATTCGGGGAAAATTAGAGTATACAACGCTTGTATTTCCCTCGACTGATCTCCTCAACGGCCGCACCGGTTGATTAGGATATACGGCAGGTGTCGGTTTATCGATCTTCTTTCGTGACTTCGTCAGCTTGTTACCCATTTTGATATCAGCCAGGAAACTTGAACGAAAACCTCTTATTTTCAGAGTGCGTAGCAGTGTCTTCCTTACTTTGAGAAGGCAAAGAAACGAAAACTTCCGTAGGCGAAGTTTGGCGAATCAGGTTGTGGCAACAGCTGCTGTACAACAGGGAAGAAGTTGGTGCTGTCAACAAAAACAGCCGATCGCTTCCATCGTAAACATGACAGTTTTCAAGGGTAATTCCGCTGTACATTAAAATCGATGTAAAGCGAGGGCACTCTTAGACAGGGATGTTGGGGTATAGTACATTATAGGTGTCTCATTTTTATGAATTATCTGTTAAAGATATGGCCGGTCAAAAGTAAAAATTTGTTTTATCCATTTTGAAATAACTGGTGATTGCATCCTTGCAAACTGATTGTCTCTCATCTGTGCAATTTAATCACGAATCGCACCATTTAATGCTCTCTTCTCCCAGCCAAGCTGAAAGATTTACTGAGACTTAACAACCTATCAGATTGCAAGCCCTATTAATTTGATTAAAGTAACTAATCAAATTTCAGGAAAATAAAAGACAACTTTGGTTAAGTCTAGTTATGAGCAACACTATCAGTCTACTTATGTCAACTCTTATTTATATTACTCTCTGAGGCCCAGTTGTTCGAAGGCCAATTACACCTGTAATGCCAACACAGTTAAATTTTAATCCAGATTTCTTTATTTTTTTGTTCAAAGCCTTTGTCTGTTATTTTACCTCCCTTCTTTTAAGAGCATCCATGCTGAATTTTCTTTTAAAGCTGTCAGATCTAAAATAAAATTTTTACACCAACAGTGGGTTAACTTAACCCACCTTTGAACAACTTGGCCCACTTTAACTGGGTAGCAAAATGAACAGAATTAGTTTTTAAAAAATTGTGGTGAGCTTGAGGCCCACAGTACTCCTACCCAACTGCCCTTCAGCAGGGTCTCTCCATTTTAGGTAGAAAACTTAATGGAGCAACAAATAATATTCTTTAGAGTCCAAGTTGATTGATTGCCAGTGTGCCACAGCCTGGCAGCTGGACAGCTGTTTCCACCTGGTTATTTCTTATCAGCATTTTGGTGTGACCACAAGAAATGCAACAACCAATAGCAGTGCTGCTGTCCAAAGCTTGAATAAGCTACATGAAACACGTAGGAAGCATAATTTTCAATCCAATTTACATGAAACATGTGGGAAGCATAATTTTCTACCCAATTTACATGAAACATGTGGGAGGATAATTTTCTTCCCCATATTTGACTTGTTTCATCATCACTCAAATTTCTATTCTGAGTTTTTTAAAACTATTTTTGTCCAAAGAATGGAAAATTCAAAATATAAACATTATCTATCTTAGTTAACCTAGACAATAATTTGAGAAGATATTGATTGTGAGTATCAGTGAACTGAGTTGTTTAATTTTTGGTGAATATCACTATATTTAGGTTGGTAGAATTTGCTTTTTAAAACCCTATCAAAGTAAGGGTGAGTAGAATACCTTTTTGCTTAAATTTACAATTTACTGTTACTACTCTATCTCAAATATATACTTAATGCATATATGCATATATACTTAAGCTGTGGGTTCTAAAGTTCACCCAGAACAAAGTTGAGAATTTTTCTTGCATGTTTTGAGATAGAATAAGAAAAATGGTAAGTTTGAGCTTGGTGACGACATGGAGAAAGATGCTTTTTTTTGTCTTGTCACAAGCATGGGACAAGGAAAAATTCTGATTACATACATGAACTTCATTATGGGCCTTGCTCACCAGAGTCTCTATGGCTCAGTGATAGAGCATCCAAACTGCAGAGCTCAAAGGTCTGAAGTTCAAATCCTCATGGGGAAATAGAATTTTTCTTTTCCCTTTGTCCCAAACACTTGTGACAAGACCAAAAACGTTTTCCTCTACTTCTTTACCAAGCTCAAAACTTACCAACATTCCTATTGTTAACAAACATGGCACAATCGACATCACTGATCCTAGCAGTATGGAAGATGCATGTCATACATGAAGTTTGTAATGGGCCTCGCTCACCATAGAGTCTCTGCGACTCAGTGGTAAAGCATCTGGGTGAGGAATCCCAAGGTGCAAGGTTTGATTCTTCATAGGAACTCTGATGTTTCTTTGTCCCACACTTGTGATAAATGAAAAACATCTTTCTCTTTCTTACATGTATCCAACATGAAAAATAATTTGAAAAGGTATTTGGGGTGGGGGTGGGTTAGGGTAATTTTAAGAAGACATCTTGCAGATACATTTCTGTATCAGAGAAATAAAAAACATTAAGATAACTGTGACTTGTACTGAAGGACTCTACCCCTAAGATATAAAATGGTGCATCCTGAAGACTCATTCATTTGTAGCAATGAGATTTTCTCATCAGCAAATTTTGAATTTTCCTCATAGTCTTGTTGAGAGAAAATAATGTGACTTGCAGGTGCACATTAATAACTCCATATAGTTCAGGGTTGTATAAAAGGGCTGGAAGCTGGGTACGTTCCCTGGCTGCTTAGCAAGGTTTCACCAGCTTCTCTCATAGAAAGTCATGTCTACTTTTTAAAAAACTCCCTCTAATTAAAACCAAGAAGACCCTGTAGTTGCCTCAAAATAAGGAGCTGAATTGTTGAAAGCACCATTGGCACTAATCCAGAATTAACTGCTGTGGCACAGTCAAGAAACTTTCTTAGAGGACGTCAATCAGGGATTTCAATAAATCAGATTTAAAAATTCACCACATTATCATGCCACTCTACCTGCCCCATGAATGACTTAACAACAAATCTTTTTCAAATAAAGGTTAAAGTTTTTCTTAATCTCATTGAAACATGTGTGGTAGTCTTACACAGTAAATGACTCTATAAACAATGTTGACTAGGTTCAGTTGCAGACGGCACCAAAGTCTGAATCATATGGTCAAACTTTTTTTTCTGGACAGGACCACCCAGGCCTCAAATTGTTTTTTTTTCCAGAAAAGAGGTCTCCTTGTCTCATAATATTGAAATATAAAACAATTATTTTACAACAATGATTTGCAATGTACAGCTACTTCAACTTCAACCACCCACTATTTCTGAACAATCACAATACAGCCTATCCTGAAGAGCACATTTATGGTTATGACATTTTTCATTGACTGAAATGGTGAATTGTTGTGTAGCAAGCTGAGAAAAACTCCAATTCCTCATCAATTAGTCTGTACTGTGACTGATCTTGGGTGCCCAATTAAATTATTACTTAAACAACAAAACCCTTTTTCCAAAATACTCATCATACAAAATGTATTAACTCTTTAACCCTAACATCAGTAATCGTATTCTCTATACTGTTCTCTAGTTATTTCCTAAGATGTTGACAGAGAGAATTTGTTTAGTAATCAACAGCTTCTCTGGTTGATGTTCATATCCTTTACTCTTGTGATCTTACTATTTGATCCAGGGTAATATTGTGTCAGACGAATTACATGCTAGTCACTTTTAGGGACCACAGGGTAAAACTTATGGAGAAGTCTAATAATTAAGTAAAATACCAGTTAAATTATAATCTAATTGCTTTTTCCACTGTCTGGCTCTGAAAAAGTTCTATTTTTTATACTTGAAACTAAAGATGCTTTCCATTTTTCTTCTGGTACAACCTTGGCCCACTCCGGTACAGCTGATGAGGGAAGACTAATTCCTGACATCACCTGTCTGATGAGATCTACTTGTTCTGAAACATCAAAGATCATAATACATCAAAACATTTTTGCTTTCATATGATTGGTCCAAAAATGTCATATGACTTTAAATACCCTACCTGAAAATTGGGAATATCAAGCAATATTCTAAAACATTTTCAAACAGTGCGTGCAAAAAATATTTTTATAAAAGGTGATTCAAGATGTGAGAGTTTTTCTCTTGCAACTGAAGAAGAAATGAACTTGTTTATCAATTAAGCTTTATCATAGAGCCAAAAAAAGTTAAAATTCTCTGAGTTACACATTATTAAGAACATGAGGTTTCTTTCAAAAATTTTTTTGCCCTATATGCTGCAAAAAATTGATTTTTAAAAATAATGAACACCTTGGCCTTAAAGTGTTAATCAATACAAATATTCAACATCTGACTCCCTCTTGAATTTGAACTTTTGAAGAGTGGTTTGTTCTGATTCCCGCCCTTCAGGTCAAAAATTGTGTTCACATGCCCCAACCAATTTTTTAATAAAAGGCAAAATCAGCAGCTGTGACTCTCTACTTTCTACTCCCTTGCAAAAGTAAGCTATTTACCATAAAAACCCCACATTTAAAGATATAATGCTTGTATGCTGCTGGAAAGACTTGACACTAGTTGTTCACATTGACACTAGCTCCTCACATTCCTCACCCATCAAATTCATCATAATCCCTAATCTACAATTACAATTGGTCTTTCTGCTTGCCTTGTTTCATTTCTGGCTCAGCACTTCTGTCAGCAGATGATGATGATGATGATGATGATGATGATGATGATGATGAGGTACTGCTTTCACTTGAATTAATAATTACTGCATTGTTTACATCTATAGCCTCCTCCTCCCCTGTCTGAGGTTGAAAGTTAATATTTTTATTTGTTTTCTGTTTGTTTGAAGTAGGTTATTGAGCTGTAACAAAATAACTTCCCTTTCACCAACTAGTCTCTTATTTGTGTCTTACAACAGAGTTGCTGGAACATTAGGCTACTCTAGCTAAAATCAAAATGCCTGGTATAGGCCCTTGAAAGCATACACCAAAAACAATAATGTGTACCTAAAGTTTACTGTACTGGAGACTCGACATGCACCATTTATGAACAAAAATAAAAGCTTTAATGATCAAAACATGTTAAAACTAAATTGCAGTATCTTGAATTCCCTTTCCTTGGTTGATTCTCAGTTTCCTTTGTTTCAGTTAACCTGGTTGTTGGTAACTTGGGTCAAAAGGCAAAGGAAAATTAGGAAACTTCGTAAATGAAATTAAGAGTCAATCTGCAAAATCTCCGAGAAATTTCCAAGTGACGTGACATACAAGAGTCTGCCTATTAAGCTTTTCCGAATTGCAAGCTGTTTGCTCTAGGAAAAATCAAGACAAGGAAAGTTTCATTAGCAAATTCAATGTGTACATACGTTAGCTAGCCATTGCTCTGCAGGTTGTAGCCCGTCGTTTTCATCCTGAGCCAGTTGAATATAGCCTTGATTAAGATCATCCTCACCGTCTAAGTTGTCTTCGTCGTCACTACTGGAGGTTTCCATGATTGCTGGTACCACTGACTCGTCCTCTTCTGAATCTGAATTCTCTCCTTCTCGAGGAGCATCCACAGGAGAAATATGCAGGGGCATTGCAGACTTTTCTTCGAGAAAATCGGACATCGATAAGTATTTAGCTTCCTTCGGCCGACATTTTGAATTTTTTCTTCGGCGTTTGAAGTTTCGGGAACTGGGTACAAGAAAGTAGGAGGCCCGCAATGCATGCGTAATAATTACAGTCGATTATGAGTCACCATGAAATGAAATTTGACAATTACATGTAAGGTTATGTAGCACTTTACGCTCCTTCAAAGACTAGCATGCCGACGAGAATCTTGCCATAGGGCATACGAGATCATTTTTTCGTTTTTAGATGAAATTGTTCTCCAAAAGTTTCCGTAACCGCTGAAAATACCGTTTAATGGAAAAGAAAGAGAGAAAAAAAAAATCTCTATTTGCACCCAAGATATTCCCTGATAATCGTCATCGCACATTACCTGTGCCAATATTGAAGTTCTAGAGGATTTTTGTGCTTCGAAGAACAGATTATGTTGTTATGTTATGAAAGTATTTCAAGTTGCCCTACGTGAGATTGAGCAATGAAAGGTCGGTGCCATTCTCTATTGTGTATTCATCTCATAATCTTACGTCAGAGCAACTTGAAATACTTACATTCGGTTCGATAAATTATTTATGTCCCTAACCATCAGCAGAATTGTTGTGTATTGTTATGTTGAGTTACTCTTCAAGATAATTTTGAAGAGTGCGGGAAAAACGCTTACAGATACTATTAAAACAAATTTACTGAGAGGAATGTTGACTTTTCAATGCTCTTCGCGAACCTTTATAAACAAAAAAGTTTATCTCTTATTTTGAATAGAAAACAAACAATTTTTAAAAAAGTTCCATCATTTTGAACAAGAGTCTTGAAAATTAGGGCATATCACATATGGTTCTCACCGGATGTTCCTCAAATTTAGCTGTGTTATTTGACTCTAGAACTGCTTTTAGGCTAATCGCGGTCGAATGTAAACTTTTGATGTATGATAGACCCCTGCAGTCCTTTGTTTTTCGCTGAATTTAAAAAGACTGACTCTGAGCTTTTGAACTGGACATAATTTCTCTTTTAATAATTAATCTAACACATATGCATAAATGGCAAAGAGTTCTATTTGAGTAAATATATCCTGTTTCGATGTAAATCAAACTTCAGAGCTTTTTCTATTGTGTTCTTGAGATTAGAAAAAAAGGAAACCTTGTGAATAAGTTCTAGACTGGGGATCAAGGTACGGTGTTTCTTAACATAAAAAGAAAACGAAAAACAAAGAATGTTTACCGAAAGGAGGATCTTATAACGGGGAGGGAAGGATTCACACGAATGGAAACATTTCTGACATTTCTGCTGATTTCACTGATTTTTTTGCCTTTCCACTATTGCCAAGGTAAGTATATTCAGCTTTCGAATAGTTTGAAATTTTTCTTTTTTTAAATAAACTTGTTGTCTTGGGTTTTCAGTGGTATTCAGGTTAACAAGCATTTAGAGTGAAACTATTATGAGGAAAATTGCCAAGTTCGATCAGATTTCGTTTCATCATGGGTAGCGACCTTTCTCAGATAACTTTTAGGGTGAGAATGTATAAAAACCAAAATTTTGCATAAGTGCGTGTTGTGTTTTTCTTGTTTTTTTTTTCTCAGCATAGATTAGAATTCATTCAATGAAAAAATCTCCGAAAATTCCCTAAAAGTTATATTTGAGATTTTTTTGACAGAATCACTATAAAAAAGAACTTTCTTCGGAAACGCGTTCAATTCATTTCTTGTAGAAATTTTGAACTTATGCTAGTCATTTTCAGTTAAATGTCTTATACCGTTGACGTCTTTCCTACACAAAATTTAGTGTCAAAGATCACTATTATTCGGGTAAAAAAGGGTTGTCTAAAAACCTCGATAATCTTTCGAGTACTGGGATGGACAACGTTCTTTAAAGAAAGATACAGATATTATTTCTCGCGCTGAGATCACAAAAGGGAAGATACTGACGTTCTTCTTCACCCCAATTTTCATTATATTCTTTGTTGTGTTATGTCGATGAAATCATCAAATATTTATCACGCCCATGTTTGAGAAAAAATTAAAATTTTAGCAAATCAAACCTTGCTGAAAATTGTTCTATTTTTTCTGATTATCAGACGCCAAAATAAGTTTTTATTTTTGTTTGTGGTACTTCCAGTCGAGTAACGAAGTTTCATTTATGGGTTTTTTCTTTTGAAATGTTAAATTTCCTCACGAATATTGCCTATAAAAAGTTTACAGTTCTGCTCGACGAATCACTTCTCTTCTTGAAATTCAAATAGCCGAGATGTTACGATATTGCTGCAAAGGCTGAACGGCGTCGTTAAAATGTTTTGGGATACCTTGCAAGTTCGCAAATGAAAATTTTGCGTCAAATCGGCCTTCACTCGAATCCAACCGATGAATCAATCCAATGTATAAATCCGCTCTTCTTCTCCTATATGAAAGAACTTGAGAAAAGAACCTCGTATAGTTTAATTGTTTTTATATTCAATAAAGGGGGTAAGTTTCTAAAGAAACTGTAATGCTGCGTCGGTGGGAGAGTATACAACTGAGTACTGAGTTGAAAACGTAAATTGGCCACCGTAAAGGGTAAAATAGCTGACGTTTCGAACGTTAGCCCTTCGTCAGAGCGATTGAGCGATTTTATATTCAATAAAGTCAACTAAGAAAATTTTGCGAATTTATTGAAAAATAACATTTCACCAATTTTTAGAAGAAGTACGCTATCGTGATAAGAAATGGTTTGAGCGTGACAGACTGACGAGTTTTAACCGCTCACATAATGACGAGAGTACGAAGGAAATAAAACTGATACTCCATTGTGGTACATCAATCCTTTTATCCCCAAGATCTGATTTTTAATTCTCCCATCTAGTTACTATATATTTCCTTGTAAATTAGTTACGAGAATTAGATGTTAGATCAAGGCAATGACTTTTACGCGATAAGTCCGGGTATTCTCATTACCTGTTTACTGAATAACGTATGGATATTGTAGAGAGTAGTCACGTGTTCATCACCAGTGGAAGGCTTAATGCGTCAAGGAAGCTGTAATACAAAAAAGTGGTGAAGTAGAAATAAGGGTAATAGGACCGAGAGAAGTCCAATTTGGTCTCAAAAAATTCGAGTGATTAACACAATCGGACGATTGCGAGGCGGAAGTCCTATTTGTCAATAACGAGTATGATTACAGACAGAATTGAATGGCACGAAATTCTGTTACCAATTAACCATCACCGTTACAATTCTGCAAAAAACAAATACATTTAGGGACAAACATCTCCGGTAGCGACAATGTCTAAAGTAAAAAATTCCTCCACTTTGAAAATTCCCCTGGTTATTGTGATCAATTCTGTGATTGGTGGATTAAGCAGAGTGGACTAGCTATGATTGGCTACTTAAACTGTCCGATTTCTGCCAACTGTCAGAATTCCCTGTACGCTTACAACTGTACAGAATGATCAGCGAAAAATGAAGCAGCTAATGCACCAATTACATTTGAGGAAATTGTAATGGTCATGATCAATGCTGAAATAGCTGACTAGTCCACAGTCCTCTCATCAATGTATGGATCGACTCTTGTATCAGTTTTCCTCATTTTGACGGACGGCGATGGTCGTCAGGTAGCTCTGTCGCGAAAAGACACCACTGCCTCGGCTCTCAAGATATCTTTCAGGGCTGAAGGCCAAGGTGCAAAAAACAATCTGTTATAAGTTTGGATAATTTCATTCAGTTGCTGCAAGAGAATATCTCTTGGTTGCTGGTAGCGACAATTTCTTGTACTGCTCACGATTAACTCCGAAAACTCACCACGACTGGCAATCGTAACTGGCTGTCCTTGAGGTTTTCGGCTGGTCTACCTTTCGATCTTCGTCTTTGCTTTACCTCTCCGAATAACATTCTGTGTGTCTTCATTTTTGCTTTCAAAACTGTTGTCTTAGTCAAATAAACCACTACTATAATTTGAGTTTCTTTAGAGATATCAGATAACACTAAAGCCACACCCAGGAAGTTTTAGAGAGGATAATTATAATTTTCTTTTTCACTTGCAGCGCTAAGGTTTCGGACAAATATCTTCGTTACCATTTACGAAGAGAAACAGCCAGGTTAGTATTCCAGTTTCCAAACAGTCATTTCCCATGTTTTCCCTCCTCACCAAAGTTCCTCCTTAATATGATTTACAGTCATTTTGATTAAGTTTCTAATTAGCTCTTTTAAAACAACGACCAAAGGAATAATGCGGGTATGTAGTGATGTGATCTGTATGTTGGTTATAAACGAAGGCCAAGTACCCTGAATAAAGTCTCGTCATAAAATGTTTGCATCGACCGGCAAAGTTTTCGATGGTTACCTCCAAGCAAGCCTTGTTACATCTTTTATCAAATTCAAATGCGATCGATAAGTCGTAGTTCAACTTTGGTTTTAGCACGAATCTTAGTAAGGTTTAGTAGAACCATTCCAACAATAAGTAATTTCAATAAACAAGTTAAAACAAGTAAAGTTCCTGAAGTGGAGAAAAATACAAATTCAGACACTTAAAAAGTGCTGGACGTTGTTCTGAGAGGAAACAGCTCTTGCGAACTGATGTATCAGATGAAAATGACCATCACCGGCATGGAAATCGTGTGAAGCCTTATGGTAGAAGCGCACGTTCATTCGGTTACATTTAAATCCAAACAGTTGATCTTACCAAATTCCCTCCCTCCCCCTCTTGCTCATCAGCACTCAGTGCCGTATGTCAATAAGGTACCTTTTTGTTCTTTAAGGCTCATTTGTGGCTCGTGCAAGTGCTACTCCAGATCCAGTAAGATATGAGCTCAGTAAAGATGCCGCGGACCTTTTTGCTATAGACAACACGACAGGCATAATAACAATCGAAAGACGCTTTGATAGAGAGGTTTGTGGACAACAACGTTTGCTTGGAAGAATTTGATGATATTAAAGACGAACTGATACTAACATGCCCTTTTTGGGACGGCGGTAGTACGCAGAGAAAAAAGGGAGTAACCAATTTGTATAGTTAACAGAGCATTTTTGTATTTAATTTTTAGGCTGAAAGTTACACAGACGGGTCATTCATGGTGTACGCCTTTGATGCTGCTGGCAATAAGGTAAGTATAAAAACTCTTATCATTATTTTAACTGGAAGGAAACTTAGTTTGATATATGGCCTTCCGGTTAAGAGGAAACATTGAAGTAAATTTTTTTCATGTTCAATGTTGTCTGCTTCACTTTCGAGAAACTATAGATTCTAGGTGAACATCAGGTTTCTTAGTGACTTCCTTTTAATTTGAGCCTAGAGTTATACTAAATATCTATAGCTACTCATCTCGTCATCTCTCGCTCCGTTATGAAATCTTGTTTTTTTTCTCCATACGATGAATGGCCCGCGTGCTTTGCTCTTTGGCCAGAAATCCGAGTAGAAAAACTTCGATCCGTAACTTATAGTACGGGCCTCGAACTCGATTAGTAAGAGGCATCAGTTTAAACGTTTGTATTTCTTTGTTTATCTTTTTTACCCCAAACAGGCCTCAACCACAGTTTACTTTTGGATTCAAGATATCAATGATAATTCGCCACGCTTTCTAAGCCAACACTACAATGTTACTGTTAAAGAGGTAAAAGTACTAAGTTCTTCACAACAGTACCGTCACTTTGTTATGAAATATGTTATCTGTCAGATTGGAGGGTCGCAAGGTGATTAATTATGAATAAGGTCTCGAAAATGCTGCGGGCTGAGGCAGCATTACCAAGTCAAAAGAAAAGGTTTTACACCATCTCCACCGATCCTAAGTCGATAATAAACTTATTCATTATTTTTCCACTCCCTCGCTAATCACCTGAACAATTATTCACCCTTTCCACAACGCACCCAAACTCATACGCACCTATCGCGTGTAGGTAATACAGTAAACTGTGACAAACCAAATGTCTTAAAACTGCCCTCGAAGGCTGAATGACCTCACGAAATAGCGTTAAGTAGCGTATTGTATAAATTTGAGCAAAATAGTCTTTTTCAGTTTTTGTAAACAAATTAAAAAACCATTGATTTAGGCCATTCACTAAACCATTACTGTAATTATAAGCAGAGATAAGACCGCATTAAGACCTAATCAGTTTGCAAGGTTCGTTACCTTACCATCTTGCGGGAAAAAAATTAACGAAACACGAGATCGTACTACACAGAACTCTTTTACTTGACTGTATAGCTGTTTAAGTCAATCTCGATGTTTCTAGCATTAGTCGACTTCGAGGAATATTTCTAATCACCTTGGATGTGATGTCAATTCATTGCTTTGAGGCCCTTCCCCGGCGTGACTGTTCAATTTGTTACGATTGCGGTTTCAATCTTTTCAAACTCTATCAGATTGGACTGTGGATTCGTTCTGTACTCTCAAAACCTCCACAGCTCAATTCAAACAAACAATCCGGAACAGGCCGTTAACATTTTGAGGTTTTCTTTGCATACCGACGTGACATCGTCTCTAGCATCCTAGTTTCACTAGATATGGCCATTAATTTGAACTTATAATCTCTGTAAATTTTTTTCTTAGACATGTGACGTTGATCGACAGATATTCTCCACAACAGCTTTGGATGAGGATTTTGAACAGAATGCAGAAATTTTCTACGAAATAGTGGATGGAAATGAGGTTGTAACTGCTACCTAACATTTCGGTCACTCAACTCATTCAATTAAGTTATTGCAGGTAATTTAGTGTTAACAACTGTGTTGAAAACGTAAATTGGCCACCGTGAAAGGTAAAAAAGCTGACGTTTCGAGCGTTAGCCCTTCGTCAGAGCAATTGGAGGAATTGTGGGTTGTGTATGGGTTTATGTGCAGAAAGTGAAGCTACGCTTAAGGAAAGGCCGCAAACTGCCATATGCTGTTTAGAATGAATAGGGAATCATATGGTAGTTTGCGGCCTTTCCTTACATCTAGGCAGGTCGGAAAGCCGCAAAACACTAGAACAAAAATTTATCTTCCAAATCGGCACCTTTAATCCCCACGGAATCAACGAGCGCTTTTCATTCAACTAATTTATACCTGTTTTCTCGTCACCATATTCCCACCAATAGCGTAGCTCCACTTTCTGCATATAAACCCACACACAACCCACAACTCCTCCAATCGCTCTGACTAAGGGCTAACGCTCGAAACGTCAGCTTTTTATCCTTTACGGTGGCCAATTTACGTTTTCAACTCAGTTGTTAACACTAAATTTGCTGCTGTACTCTCTCACCGACGCAGCACCACAGTTTCTTTAGAAACTTTCCCCCTTTATTCATCAATCAAGTCATTAATGAGTTTAGGAGCTGTATTCAACTAGATATGCTTAAGAAGAAAGTACCAATTACGAGTTTCTTTCATTTGATGTTTTTCAACAGGATGGAATATTTAAGCTAAAGGATGCTTATCACTGCAATGTAATGTTGGTAAAAGCTCTGGACTTTGAGTTGAGATCCTCATACGAGCTCAATATCACAGCCTCAAATGTTAGTTCACCTTGTTAATAATCTTAGGTACTCAACATTCTAAGCCTTGGTGGATCTGCCTGTCTTTATTTCATTTTGTCTGTCTGTCTGTCTGTCTGTCTACTGATCTGTCTGTCTACCTACCTGTCTATCTGTCTGTCTGTCTATTCGTGTCTATGAATATGTTTGAGTCTCATTCCTCCACTATAAAAAGATCTTCCTCTCTAAAAAATAGTACTGGTAACACTTATTTACAGTTTCACTGTAAGTCCTGTGAAAACTCTACAGAATGTCGTGCTTAGAACCAAAACTTTTTACATTTTGTATGTAGCTAATAAGCAATGGAGTCAGAACTTTGAAATGTATTTGCAATAATCATGATGAGACGATTTGTTAATCTTTCACGTTCTTACGTCTTTTTAAATTACAGTATCAGAGCTTCTCAAATTGGACAATTCTGTCAATAACAGTAGGAGATGAGGACGATCTGCCTGCTAAATTCTCCTCCTTTGAATACAGCGCTTTCGTAAGAGAGGACGCTAGTTTGGTAAGGAGGAAAGATAAGAAGAGGTTATGGTTGCCCATTTTGGTGAAACAAAATGGGTTGTGAAGTACTACGAATTGCCTTGTGATGAAGTCATTTCCGATATGGATCACATGACTTCGACTGCATACTGCGACTCTTCACCAATCTCCTGGCGATGAGGTTTATCTTTTCAAGCCTAAACTTAAGAAGCATTTTGTTCCACTGGTATTCTCATGCTTCTGTATAGCTGTGATTATCACTACTCGATGTTGTGTTCCCTTAGTACTAGTGCTTTGCTGCCGTGTAGCTCTATTTTTTAATGTTTTTAAATCGGGGGCGTCCATGTCTCTGAGATCAGTATATTTGAAACGCGCCAATCCAAGTGGCTGAAGCATTAAGATTTACCGCCTCAAGGAGATTCGCAGTATGCGGTCGAAACGAGGTCATCAAAATCTTGAAACTTTAATCTTGGTTTCCTGAGTCTTCACTGATATTAACCGCAGGGTAGGTCAAAGAAATCACGAATTGAATTGTGGACAAAGCTGCCTGTGCGATACTGTGGTCATTTCCATTAAACTGTAATGACTGTGTTTCGAGATACTTGCAGATATTGGCCGTGACAAAACTACTGTCAAATCAGAGGGTTGATAAATTATTCATACCAGATCATATGTTTATTCGTTTGTGCAACTTGAGTCCAATTGTGGATGTTGTTCGTTTACAGATAGGTTTTTTTTCACTAGGGAACGTCCATCATTCAAGTTACTGCAGCTGATCAGGACAAACTAAATGATCCAGTGACATATAAGATAGTTGAATGTAAGTTCCACACTGGGAAACTGAACAAGAAGAGGAAAGAAAAAACATAACGAAATAACTACAAACGATTTTTTTGGAGAAAGCCCTTGTAAAACGACAACAATGTGTATTGAATTGTTCAAATGGTGCGGAACTTTTAACTTTTAGACTCATTAAGGGCGAGAATATATATATTGGGTTATTTTGCTGGAGGCTAAAGATTTTAACTGAAAGATTGTAAGATACGAGGTAGTCGATAAAAAGGCAAATGATCCTATACTGTGACGATTCCTGCATAGAGCCTCTCCTCAGTCCACAGCGTAAAGCATAAGTTGAAGGCAATAACTCTCAAGGTAACTTGGCCGCATTCAAATGTTCTTTATGCAAGATGTTAGACGTAAATTCTATGATACATGTAAAAGATGACTTCGTCTCACAACGTCTTTAGTGACCGGAGATCACGGCATCCTTCCTGTGTATTAGATATTAGTGATGATGTCCATAAACATTTATTTTTCATTTGCTTTTTTACCTCAATCGTTTTTTCAGCGACCAATAATGACAGTCTATTTGACATCAATGTCTCCAATGGTGTTATCGCCTTGAATGGAACACTGGACAGAGAAGCTGTTTCTGAATACAAGCTGAGAGTGTTGGTAAGGCAAATACGGTTGGTCGTTGCAACCAAACGTTGGTTGCCTTTCACTAATTATTCAAATTAACTGGCCAAATAGAAACCCGCGTAGAATTTATCTTGCATACACCTCAAAGTTGCACATTCGCCTCTCTTACATTCACCTTTCCTTTTTCCAATTCGCTGTTTAGTTATAAATATTCATAGTGGTCTGGTTACAATAAGCAACATTTCGATTCATGCACTCGTTACGACCCAGATATCACGTAAAGACTACCGGTGAATATTTTCTGTCGTAAATAAAGATATTTTTGTCCAAAAAGGACGAACAGTGACTTGTGTTGGAAAGTATATCAATGCACGTGAAGCAGTCACTCTTAGAGACAATTGACAGTACATAAAAAAGAAAAAAAGTTTCAACAATGTTGTTGGTGTTTTTCATGTCACTGCCTTCTACTTTTACTTCGTCCATTCAATGTTTACAAGCAATCCTTTGCAAAATTATGAAAACGTCTCTCCGATTTTTAAAGACCTAAACTGAGCACAAGTTACTTATTGATTTGATATTTGAAACGATCGACTGAAACCTTGAATTTTCTTTTGCAATTGCCAGGCTTATTCTACGCATCATCTCCCCGATCATGCCACAATTAATATCCAGATTAGTGACGCAAATGACAACCCACCGACCTTTTCAGCCAAGTATTACTCATTTTCAATTAAAGAGAATGCAGGAATTGGTGCCATTGTTGGTGAAGTGAAAGCGAGTGATGTAGACCAAGTTAGTAGTAGTAGTTTTGTTATGTTCTGTGTTTCGGAAAAAAAACATCTTTGTAAAAGATCTGTTGCCATAAATTTCACGAAAAAAGTCAAACTTGCCCACCCTCTATTTACCAAACCGTTTTAAAAATGTTCTGACGCAGTTTTAAGAAGTCATTAACTAAAAATTTCTGTATCACAGGCAAAAAAATTCATCTCAGCCCTTACCATATTTTTTTTTTTTGATTGATATCATTCTTCCTTTGAAAAAGGGGAGCAAATTTACCTTATCATAACTGTAAGAACAAAAGCAGAAGATGGGGTATTTTATGTGGTACAACCTTTGGCACACCCTTACTCCCATAGTGTTTCCCTCTATATTCACGAAAATAAGCGGATAAAAGCGACTTATGCGGGGAAAAAGCAAAAAATTAGGATTGCCGCAACAGAAGTTTGGTAAGCAAGTCAGACGATGCGGAGGATTGTCGGAGGTAGATGCTATGGATGAAGAATTAGCTGCCCTCTTCGAATATTGATAATATCGAGTATTCTCCTTTTTTTTCGGTAGGGAATCAACAACGTGTTTAACTACGTTTTACCGGATGGTGGAGAACCTTTTGCCTTCTTTGAAAATACTGGTGTCCTTGTTGTGAATGGGTCGTTAAACCGTGAAAAGCAAGACCGCTACAGCTTCTTGGTAAAAAGAGAGGCGTTTGCCAAGATTTTACACTATTTTAGCTGATAGCTCTTGTTAGATCGAAAGTGTTTAAACGATTTTCATCAGCTGTGTGCAGTCGACGTGAGAGTAACCGAGAAAAATCAGCGAAGTTCTTAGTTGCAATTTCGTTTTTGTGTGTCAAAATTGAGATGTGATGCACAGGTGTACCAGCCTAGGCTGAGTGTGGAGATTAATTAAAGAAAAAGAGAACACTGTCAAATCATGTCTAAAAGGTTTTAAATACAAGCAACGAGTAATGGCGGAAAAATGTAGTAACATAATGATGTCCTAAATTACTTGTTTATGACTATGTTTGATATTATACTGAGATCTAACTGCAATTTTCTGAGGGCGAAAGCATCTCAGAGTTTTGGCCTCTCTTTGGGTGCTAATTGCAATTGTTAACACAAAGTAATTTATCTTTGCATAGATCATAGATCTAAATCATGCAGAGTGCAACACAATTACTCTCCATTTTCCTACGTTTGAGCTCACTCTCTGTCATTTTTACCACCAGGTATTCGTCAAAGAATTTCAAACTGTGGAAAAATATACCAACAACGCCACGGTGATTGTTACAGTGGAAGATAGAAATGACAACAGTCCCCACTTCGTGAGACCGTTCTACGAAATTACAGTCCAAGAGGAGCTCCCCAGAGGAACAAATGTCCTACAGGTATTAACAAATTAGTTCATTTAATAAATCTGGCAGAAAAGGAGACCTTATCAGGGCGCACAACTGGTCACTGCTAGATTTAATTAATATTCATGACAAAATTTCACCTTTAGAGGAGCAAGCCGCGTTGCAACATTTCGAAACAATTTTTGCTTTGTGTATTAATGACCAAAATTATTGATTCGGCCAACATAGAAAAACACTAAAAAAAGAACTGCAAAGGAGAATGGCAAAGGATGTAAAATTCGAAATTAGGGTGGATCATAAATAAAGAACTTGAAAAGTTTCGTCTATAAATTTTTCAACTCTTATTCTTTTAACTAAAGTTGAAATTTCAAGTAACAAAGAAACAGCAAAAAAAGTTATGAATGGGCACTGCGAAATAAATTTAAACGGGTTATATTTGGATTTACATCTAGCCAATCTCGAGTAACGTGGAAAGTTTTTTCCCAGATTGTTGTATTATTGTTATTGATAAGTAATTATGACGACGACATGCATATTTCTATTTTCACGTTTCATCCTCCAGGTTCTGGCTAATGACACCGACGTGTCGCTCAATGCTATTATCACCTACAGTCTCGTTCAAGATCCCAGAGATCATTTTCTAGATTTTTTCATTAATCCTATCAATGGATCAATACGAACCGCAAAGACACTTGATCGGGAGAACATCAGTATTTACTACCTGACAGTGAAGGCGGAAAACAGCGCCCTGAACACACAGACAAGGTTTGTGAGATATGTGAAGACCCAGGGATTAGGGTTAGGGTCAACTCCACAAAAACTCTATTGATATTGAATGCACTGAAGGATATGGTCTTTGAGCCGTTTTTAACTAAATACGGGTGTACATTTGGACCGTTATGATTGGTATGGTCTTAAATTAGCTATGGTTTGAAAGGGAACCACGACAACGTACAGAACTTTTAATCTTTTCAACTTTGATAAGTGATGGAGAAAGGATTGTAATTCTATTATATTACCCTTGAGAATTTGAGGATGAATAGTGTTAATTCTTAACTTCGGCACCGACACTAATCTTGGTTGGGCTACAAAAAACTTAGCGACGCAATCCAATATTAATGATGAATAATACTGTTATTGTTTGTTAGCAAGAGATTTCCGCAATACATTCGTTTAGCGTTTTAACTTTGATTTCCTTACTAAGGGAGGTGCCTCCTTTTACATTATGATTACAGGTCGAGCACGGTATCAGTAAAAATCATTGTTGGAGACATCAATGATAACTTTCCATTATTTGGCCAGCCCTTCTACACCGTCACTATCACAGAGGCTGCTGTAGTGAACACAACCCTCTTGAAAGTTCAGGTCAGAAGATAATTTGTTGTTTATCAAGCAGGAACATTTTCCAACTATCTATTCAAACTACCCAACGTTATTGGACTTGAAACGTGACGGAAAACTACAAAATATCAATTTGAGACCTATAGAGATAAAAAAGCACCGAAATAGGAAGAAAAAGCTAATAAACACTAGATTATTTAGTTTTATCAACTGAGTTCATAAGGTAAATTAGCCACCATGAAGAGATTCTAAATCTGACATTTCGAGCATTACAAGCTCTTTACAGTGGCCAATGTACTTTATCAAGTCAGATGATGAAACCAAATTATCTTGTTATACTGCCCCACCGACGCAGCATCATGTGGCAGCACCATGCCACGATTTTTTTAGAAACTTACCTTCTTTATAAATAACGCTATTTTGACAAATCACTGGAAACAAAGAGGTCAGAGATACATACACTGCACTGTGCATGTTACTGGCCGGGTAGGAGGTCCGTTCAATGCAAAACTACATTTGACCCAGATACTGTGCATATAAAAGTCACAGTTTTTCACTAAACGCACTAACCTGCGCCGGTAATTTTCTTGCGTTAAAACAACAAAAAAGTAACATAGAAACAGAAACTGAAAGAGAAAAATCAAAACCTTGCAAAGGTGTTACCGTGACTGTAGGAAAAGGAAGGAAAATCCAGATTGAGATATGAAACTATAGCGATTCGTTACCACAATGATCGAGATTTGTTTTTCGGTACCGATTGTAGGATACATGCCCTTTTCGAGATAAAGAAAAAAAAAAGGTAATAGTTAAACGATTTCTGTGATAGAGTTTCGTTTTTCAAAACATCCATCCATTATAGGCCACGGACAAAGATTTTGGTGAAAATGCAGCCATAGAGTATCTCCTGATGGAAGGAAATTCAGGAAGTGTCTTCAGTATTGAGCAAGAAAGGTATGAAGTTTAGCTTAGCTAACCTCAAATATAGTTCAAAATTAAAGGAAAGCACTAAATCTTCTGAATTAGTTAACTCTCTCTCTCTCTCACGGAGTTGCAATCGTAATGTTTCTCGAAGAGATCAATCTATTCCCCTAAAACAAAACCCTGGTGGTCGAATGGTCAACACGTGGAAACAGGTCAAACCTTAGGGTCATCACACCAGGTCCCTTGTGTTATTTTATTGGGTACTCTACTTATCTCTTTCCATATTTGGTGACAAGTCGTTTTCTCCAGTACCAATTTCTCCACCCAATCCTAAATATTGACAAGCAAGGTATAACTGAAACTTGCCGTTCAGATTTAGTATTATCAACTGAGTTGGCAACGTAAATTGGCCACCGTAAAGAGTTTCAAAGCAGACGTTGCGAGCTTTAGCCCTTGGTTAGAGCTAAAGATGAAGTTAGCCCGCCTTCGCTCTGACGAAGGGCTAACGCTCGAAATGTCAGCTTTGAAACTCTCTACGGTGGCCAATTTACGTTATCAACTCAGTTGATAAAACTAAATTACCCTGTTATACTCTCCCACCGACGCAGCACCACAGTTTCTTTAGCGGCTTACCCCTTTGTTCATTTGCCTTTAAGATTGTTTCAATTTCAAGTTTTCATCAATTCTGTCTCATCTTAGCGGTTCTATAAGTGTTGCTAGAGAACTTGATAGAGAAGAAGTCGAAGTCTACCATCTGATTGTACAAGCAAATGATGGAGGGAATAAGGTAGGCGCTGTTATCTTCCCGTTAACTCTTAGCTTTATTCAGACTGTAATTATCAACACTAACTCAAAACTAATTGCATCTTAGAGCACCACTGTTAATGTCACGGTTTTGGTGGGTGACGTCAATGATAACTCGCCCCAATTCACATCAGTGGAGGGCTATCACTTTTCTGTAATGGAGGAGACCTCTGGATTGATTGTGGGTACTGTTAAGGTAAAGTAACTGCCCTTGATTGACAAATCAATGCACCGATATTTATTACTATTACACGAGACTTAAAACTAGAAATACAATGGCACCAGTAACATACTGGCGATTTTAGTCACCTTCCTGCGAATAATGTTTAACGGGAAAATATTCTTCCGTCAGTTTCAAACATCTTTAATCCCAACTGTTATTATTTTCTGTAGGCAAACGACAGCGACATCGGAAAAAATGCTCAAACAATCTATTCATTGATGAATACACCATCGTCCAAAAGGTATGCTTGATTGCTGTCACGCAAAAATGATTATTATCGAACGTTTATGCCATTTTCTCTTTCTAAAGTAAATACAGCACTTTTGAAATCGATGTATACGAGATGTATATGAGAAGAAGTGAGCAACCATGATCCCTATTCAAAATCCAGTCTGAATTATTAGTTTCAGGATAAACTCTTCAACAGGAGAAATTTTCACAACCAAAGCACTGGATTATGAAGCCTCTCGTTCTTATATATTGGTTGTGCAAGCTGAGGATCAAGGGCTTCCGCAGTCGCGAAGGACAGCTGTGGATGTGTCAATCAATGTCATTGATGTCAACGACAATGCGCCAAAATTCTTCAATATGCAACCTGATGTGAAAGAACTTGAAGATCTTCTGGCTTGCGTCGCGTACAATGCAACGGTATGTGTTCTTTTCTCCCTCTTTTCTTTCTTTTACGCTTTATTTCCTTCGAAGGTTGGCTCTCAAAGCGCAAGATTTCCTTAGTTTGAATGTCTTGAAAGAATTCTATCAAAATATCTGGATAAGAAGCTGTTGCGTTAATTACCTCTACAGCTACTTATATATTAGACACGGAAAGAGTGTTCGTTAAGATTTTCCGCTCTTGGGTACCATCTAGTCAACAAACAGTGAGTTTTAATGAAGATATTTCGGGAGCTTCCACAACAGTTAGATTCGGCAGAAAGCCGATGGTGCACTTCGGCTTGAATTAATTGACAAATGGTATCTCACCTTAAGTCGTTCCCTCGACTTGAATGCCAGGCAAGGTTCTCTTTGAAGCCTTCAAGTCTCCACTATTCTTTTTTAGAATCCCATCCATATTGGTCCACCAAATTAATTTTTAATTATGTTTGAAAATTATAGTATATTCCATTTTAAACTTAAAAGTCTTACCTATAATTTCACTCAGGCTAGCTACTTTGACACTTCAATGGAGTGATTTACTTTATTTACCTCTTTGATTGTATCAAATGAATCGGATGTTTGTTTGTGTGCCGTATATGACTTGCTTGGTGGAAAAACTCTGTGGAGAGTTCTATTTTCGTTTGTTTGTTTGTTTGTTGGTTTTTTAAAGTCGACTTTGTTTTAAGTTGAATGTTGTCGCCTTTTTTCTCTTAATAGGAACTTACTGTTTTCCGAGTACAAGATTTGACTCCTGCCAACACTGAGATTGGTAGAGTGGCAGCCTTTGACAAGGACGAAAGTGTCAACTCTGTGATATTTTATCATATCGAAGGTAAAAATTCTGGATAATTGAGATGCCTTTCAATGAGATATGACGCAAAATGACTTTTTTAAAAACTCTGCTCGCCTGTCATTTTTCATTCTTAGCAGATACACTAAATTATTTTGTCACTGATTTTTTGTTTCAGGCAATGGATCAAAATTCTTTTCTATCGAAAATCGCACTGGGATCATAACTACAAATCAACAGCTGGTAAGTGTTGGTGTAGTCTCATACGCAGTTGTTAGGCACGTCACGTCGCACAATCATTCCCTCACGACCAAAAAAACTGTTGTGTGGCGTGACGAGCCTGCGTTGGAGGCTGACAGCCCAGGGGAATAAAATGCTGGTGGCTTTATTCGTAAAAGAATGTATTAATCTCTCAGACAAGAATCTTGGTGACTACAATCTCTCAGAATCAGCGTTACATGAAATTAACCAAAATAATTAATAATGATGTACGCTTCCCTCCCGTCTCCTCCTCAACATAAATTCACCATCCTCGATTCCAAGATTCAAATTTCGTGGAATTTAGCTCAATCTGACGTCTTAAGGATTAGCAATTAATAATCCTCGGAGGGGGGGAGGGGTGTCGTAATATATTTCTTGGGAGGGGGGGCTACATGGTTTTCAGGGGCAACCTAGATGGTAACAGACGTCGCTAGCGGAGTACAGAGGGCTATTAGAAAGGCTCCTGGTGGGAATCATTAGAATAACACATCAACACATAATAATACGTTAGAGTAACACATAAGAATAACAGACGTCGCTGACAGAGTACAGAGGGAGGCTATAAGAAAGGCTCCTGGTGGGGTTCATTAGAATAACAAAGAGCCTTGAGGGAGGGGGGGGGCTTATGTAAATTTATTGTGACACAACCGAAATCTTCCTACAGGGGATAATTCATGATCTACAGAAAAGGCTCTCAAACCAGTTCTTTGATGTTCTATCGATCGCAAGAGTCGCACATGTACACAGATAATGAGTACCAAATCACCGTGACCCTACTACATTCCTTTAGTGGTCAGCAGTTAATGTAATGAGAAAAGACGAGAGGCAAATAATAGGGTTTACTTGACTCTAAACCTCTTTACTTCTCACAGAAACGAGTTGAAAAGGAAATCTACAGCTTGACTGTAATCGCTGAGAACTCCTTAGCGTCTCCCAAGTTGTGGTCAACTCTGGAAGTTCAAGCGATTATATATGGCTTGAGTAGTAGAACACCACAGTTCACCGCTAGTGAATATCATGCGGAAATATCAGAGGCTGCCACTGTCGGAACACCTGTGATTAAAATTAATATTACCAATAACATACAGGTATTTATACGACCGAGTGCATAATGTTAAAAGGGAAACTGGCTGAAAGTTTGTGTAGCCGAGCCATTCATAGACAGAACGGGCTCTGAACGGGAAAGTAAACGAGAAAATAAAAGACCAAAAGCCAATGAGAGAACGAAATTAGAATGTTCGAACAAGAGATTAAGTGAAAGAACTGATTAGGGGAATAACGATACAGCTGCGAGAAAATAAAGAGCGAAAGAGTTGTAGACTAACTGAGAAACAAGCGAATTGGTGAGCGAATGCCTAAACAGATGATCAGCGACCGGAAGTTCAAATGAAGTAAAGAAACAACAAGCAAAAGAATGCAGCTGATCTAAAGAAGGAACGGGAAAACAAAAGAATAAGATGTGAATTAGCCTAAATAAATGAAAGAAGGATATAACGGGGCTAAGAAGTGCGACTTTTTTTTTAACAAAAGGATTATTGTATTCACTCGTATAGTATTCATTATATGTGCTTGCTTTACCAGGCTACCTCATATATTGTGTTCAGAGTGTTGCATGACCAAAGCAGCGCGGGCTCAAGAAAATTTACGATAGAGCCTGAGACAGGACTCATCACCACTCAGGGAGAACTGGATCGAGAAATAACCGCTAACTACTCTGTGAGTGCTCAAAAGGCCAAAAGCTAAAACCTTTTTTTTTGTCGTTATTTAATTCTCTTCTTTTGAGGCGGTTTGTGTGATTAAAACTGGAAAATTCCTTCTCATGGATAAAATCGGATTCATTTACCCTCGGCAGTGTCTATAGAACAATAGCTAAAGGAGACCGACGTAATTAATTAAAAAAAGCACTTCAAATGAAAAGTTAAGACCCTACTTCATGGTTGGAGATGACTATATAAAATCTTGGTCGAGGACTCAAGCCCGCGACCTCAGGCATGCGAGTCCAGCGCTCTTACCCCTCATTTGGCCACACTGACTTCTAATACAACATCTTACCCTTTCTAAAATTTTATAACAGACATTTTTAACATACGTTGCAGCTGTTGATTGAGGCAAAACTGTTAAACTCAGATCCTGCACTTCAAGAGGTGTCAAGTGTAGTGCTTGTATTCATAAACATCAGTGACGAGGATGATAATAACCCGCGCTTCCTCCAGCGGTCCTACCAGTAAGCTTTTATTTTTACTGTAATTTTGATAAACTCATGAGAAATTTCTCTTTAATTTATTTTCTATAAATATTAAAATGATTTACCGGTCAAACGTGTAGGTTCTTGTCCAGTGAGCTTTCTAGAGTCGGTGACTTTATAGGACAAGTAAAAGCCGTGGACATTGACAGAGATCATCAATCAGATGTGTTTTATGAAATTACCAGCGGCAACGAGAAAGGTGCGGCGAAAACCTCGTGTTTTCTTTTTATATTTTGTAAGCTTAAGCTATCGTTTTACAACCGCTTTCGTTGTGCTTCTCATCAATAGCTGGTTTTGTTCCTTTTTGCTTATTTGTACCAGGTCTTTTCAACATCAGTGAATATCACGGGACAATATATGTAAAGCAGAGGTTGGGAAATGAAGCGGCCTCATCCGTCCAATTGCTAATACGAGCACTTAATTCACCTGCAGGACTGGGTAACAGGAAAAGAAGAGGTGACAAAATCAATTAAACGCACCTTCTGACTTTAACGTTGTCTTTACTTGGGCTAGCCTGCCGTGCTGGCGGTCTGCGGTTTTGAGGGCGGAGAGAAAAATGAAAGACCTTTCATTTTTCTCTCCGCCCCCAGACAGCAACGCAGACCGCCAGCAACGCAGGTTATATTTGGGCTGGTTTTTCGTGGTCACTTTCGTGCGGTATGTTTCTCTGCCCTTTCCATCTGAGTTAGGCAACTATGTTTAGATAACCTTTGTCTTCTACCATAGAGGACACATACTACAGCAAGTAAAATTTGAAAACAAATACTAGATACCTGAAATGTGTTCGTTTGTTTGTCCCTTTCTTTCTTTTTGTTGTTGTTGTTCTTGTTGATAAATGTCATGAAATGTCAAAGAAGACAAGAGAGACGTCAAACGTTCTTATGAAGGCGGAGGCAAAATAGGGCTTGGGTTGCTATTCCAGTTATTCTCAGTTTCTAGGGGATGGTTGTCGGTTCTAGCATACAAAAGAATATACGTTTGATCCTAGAGATATATAACTGCTCAGATGCCAACGAGTTTCAATGAGAGTCTTGATTTAAGTAAATTATTTGATTTCAAACTAGATTACCTCAGTCTTTGGCTCATCGTGATCAAGTACTGCGCGAGAAGATGGCGAGAAGCTCGCAAGAAGTTACGCTAGACTCAATGACGCGCGACTTATACACCACGGACAACTTTCAGCACCCTAACCGAAGCAAAAATAGAGCACATATCTCGCTGTTTTTGCCAATTGATTTAAAATGAGTTTTTTCATGCAACTCGCTTAGGTTGCTAGTCATTTTAACGTCTCTCGTAAAGCCTCGTGTATCATGATCAATTTTTATCTCACAACTTTCATTTCCATTTCAGATGGGACGGTAGCTTTCGATGAGGTGTCAGCCACAATTGAGATTCAAGATGAGAACAACAACCCTCCTGTGTTCATTCAATCACAATTTATTGGAGGCATGCAAAATTATTTGTAGAGTTAAATATAGAATAATTATTCATACTGGCAGACCCTGACAGTATAGATATTGCTATAGTGAGTGTTCGTATCTCCCTCTTTTAAAGAAGTGTTCGATTAAAGATCTCGTTTTTGAATTCATCAATTAGGTAAAGGGACTTACCATATTGAGTGCGCAGTCACTGAGTCGAACCGATCATCAAAAGAATTAAAAAATCCAGCTCAATGATTAGATCTGTAACTTGGTTATTTTAGTTAAGTATCAACGTTATGCTTAAAAGTCCGTACTCAAGCCAAGTGACCTCCACTCCCTCCCCCCCCCCCAAGTTTATCCCGGTTTCCCTAACATGAAGAGACTAAGCTTATGATTGTTCCCCCCGAGATGGGATGCTAGTTCATCGCAAGTTTATCATTCAGCATTTTATCAGGCTTTCCCAACAGTTAGCCGGTATCTATTTATCTTCCTGGGTGGAAAGGCATGTGAGAGTAATGTGCTGTTACCAGGGACTCATCACATGGACCCGAAGTCCAGTGCACTGACCCCAAGACTAATGCGTCTTCCACAATGTTATGCTTATGATGCTCCCTGCCTTATGGTACATTGTTTCAGGTTTTTATGAAGGTGAGGCCGCAAGGAACACAGTGGTGGCAGCCATCCAGGTAAACTATGTAATCGGTTCGTTTTTCGCTGGTTTGCTTGACTTCAAAATGTGGGACTTACGTTTTGAAATTTCGAGAATTAGAATTCCGTGAGGTCCATGATTGTTTTCCTTTGATGCAAACCTGTGCGTTCTTTCACAGGCATCAGACAAAGATTCCGGCGCTTATGGCTCTCTTTGGTACTCCATCGTACATGAGGGGACACCTGGATTGTTCTCTTTGGACAATACTACTGGTGACGTAACACTTTCCAATCTCTCAGACCACGTCACTGGGAAATCGGTGTTTGCTCTGACAGTTTCTGCCGTGGACAACCAAGGAAAAGTACCGAGTAACAGGGCGAATCAAAGTGCATCTGTTCTGGTAAGTTTGTGAGTGTTGGACGGATGTTGCGTTCTCTGCATTTCAAATAGATAACAATACGTCACCTTATGTCACCTTATAGTCACTACGTATGGGTAACATCATGATTTGGAGTGCAATTTGAAGTTAACAAGCACGAGCAAATTTTTCAAAGACAACAAAATTGCAATTTGTTGTCTTTGAAGAATTTGCAAGTGCTTATTACATCAAATTGCAAAGGAAATTATGTCATTACTTGTTAACAATGTACATGAAAAAACATCACGGAAATTCAAGATAGACGAAATTTTGAAAGAATGCGTGCACTATATGTAATTTGCACTCGTGTTGCAACTTTGCACTTGTGTAAAACTTTGCTCTCGTGTTACATGAGAATGCACTCGTTTTCGGCCAATAAGAAGTGCGTAATTTTTTTCATGTACAATATTAAACTTGTTAACCATTTTTTCATTCAGATTTTCGTCCTCTCTGATCCTAAGAAGCTGTCACTTGAGCTTGGTGTTCCTCCTGTTTTTGTCCGAGAAAAGAGAAGCGAGATTGAAAGGTTCGTTGTTTGTTCTCTAGCTCCCTAATCAACGCTGATTTATTGGGAGACTTATTTCTCTAAGCTTTGCAATTTTCCATCATACAGATCTGGAATTAATCACACAGTTGTTTCGCTGCTACATAAAGGCCAACTTCACGGATTAAGCCATTTCTGTTGCTTGTGCAAATATGCTCTATTCTGAGGCAATAGTTTGAAAATCGCTTTTCTCCTTTGTTTATCTCTAGTATGCTGCGCAATCTCACTGGAGGAACCGTGATGATAAAAGACATACGAGAGACCGAGGATGGAAGGTGAGTGGTCATGAAGACAGGCCAAGAGCCACAAGGCATCAGAAATGTAATAGTTATAACAGGAGCCAAGGTAATGGGTTCCTGGTTATAACTGATAACATTTCTGGCAATAAATAGTAACACTAAGGTCCTGAAATGAAAGTCCAGGTTGATCATGATCCAAATGATTATGAACAAAGATATGTGAAAAGTTAAGAAACTTATACCTCATCAAGTTAACAATTTCTTGCACAGATCTGAATATATCTAATTTTGAAATGCGTTTAAAAATTGGATTTTAAAATGTTACTCCTCCAGATTACGCTTCGCTGCTAATATTATAGATCTATAATTTTTTCGTTACTGTTAGTAAATGTCTCAAGAACAATAGGCATTCTGCGCGATGAAACAGCTATCATGGCTAGAAACTCTGGATTTTGATGTTAGGAATTCCAGACAGGGTATGCAAACTTAAAATGTTCGTGCATCGTGCATGAAGTTAAAAAGTTTATTTTAATAGATGTTGATGAGGTAAGTAAATTTTAATAAAAACTCTATTGTTAACAGTTTCTCTTGTTTTCATCATTTCCAGCACACTAATCTATTTCCATGCTGTTGACAACAACACCTTATCTTTGTTGACTCCGGATGAGTTTATGAGGTAAAGCAACTGGAGAAAACGATCATAACGGATATAAAGAGGTCTCCTACCTATTCGTCACCTATCTTTCTTTCATTCTGTCGAAGAACTAATGCTCGAAAAGTCAGCTTCTGAAACTCTCTTACGGTAGCAAATTTCCATCATCAACTCGGTTGATGAAACGAAATTATATTGTAATACCCTCCACCGACGCAGCACTACAGTTCCTTGAGAAAATTACCCGCTTTATTTTTCTTTTTGTCAAAAAGAGAGAGGATCGTTTTGGATGCATTAAGCCAGCCGTTGATGTAGCGAATCAATACATATTCATTTATCCTTTTTGGTCATCATTTTCAACGTTATTATTGAACTGCTACTATCATGAAACGTTTCAATTTTTTTCTGAGAGAAGGCAATTTCCTTCTAAAATTCGAAGATATGGAGATAAAGAACTTTTTTTTTATCAAATGAATGAAACAGCATTTGTCTTGTGTTCTACATCAGTACCTAACTTTTTTCTATCCACTGTTTTCTGGTTGTTGCGGTTAATTCAGTTCCTGTACTTACATTCTCAGTCGCCTGCAAAACAACTCCGACCTTTTGAACGATGTTTTTAAAAAGTGGATTATACGTATTCCTTCTGGTGGGACAGCACATGCGTCTAAAGACTCAAGGGAGGAGTTCAGTATCCTGATTGCTGTTATGCTGGTGCTCTCTGGCGGCATCGGACTGGGAGCATTCGTTGGCATTATAATAGCCAAGAAAAAGAGAAAACGGTGAGCTTTTTAAAGTTGTATGTGCATGTTAGAAAGATCTACTCGTGTGATGTGATCGCCCTGGTAAGGTTAGACCTGAAGAGATTTGGTTGAACTTATGCATAGACGTTTTTTGAGCCATCTACCACAACTAGAAGTCGGGAGTTCTTTCCCTACCACTAAAACATTATTTTTTTTCGTGCACGCTACTTGCTTGGAAATACTTGAACGAGGACATTCAAGTTGGTTAATTTTAAAGCTTGTCTGTATTTATTCACCATCTGAGGTTTTAACAAATTGAGCGAAAGTTATCATCAACATCAAGTTTTTCATGCTTGTAAGTAGAACGAAACATTAGGAGCACGGAGATCCCAGTCTTTCCCTGTCCACATAGACATGAATGTTCGAGCAATCCTTGCTTTCACTAGACGATTACTGAGAAGTTACGTCAACAGCGCCTTAGTAACCTGAGAGCCTTGGTTTTGGATCAGAAAAAATGGAAATGAGATTAATTCATTTGCATTCTTGTTTACATATAATTACATGTGCGGGCAGCATGACTTTTCTGATTTGATATTGTAGTGCTACACTCGATTTAGAAGCTTCTTGCTTCTCTTCACTCCTCCTCTTATCTCATGTTGCAGGCAAAAGAGAGCCTACAAGACTACTGATGAATTACCATATCCTCTGACGATGCCTTGGTAGTAAGTATGACCAATAGAGAAAGGAGTTAGGGAACTGGTAACTAGCCTTTTGGTAAAATCCTTCCAGATATACCAATTTTATTGAGGTTATACATAGATAGTCGCACGAATAAAAGCCTGTTTCCTGAAACTTTCTGTGAAAAGATAAATTTCGATAATAATAGCGTAGTGACTAGTTTTTTCCATGAAAGAGGTTTCCTTGGATCAAAAGGAAAAGGTCATTTCTTGAGCGGATATTTACTGAGCGGACATCTGAGGAAAAGACATCTCTAAACTAAAAATAGCTTTTGTGGAATCTCCATGCGACCCCATCATCATCCCCCGCTGTTCTCTCACTTTCTCTTAACATAGCTAAAAGTATTGTGCCTTTTTCTTAAAATTAACTTTAATTCCATTTCGGTTGTTAATGTTTGTTTCGTAAAACTTAAGTCGACTTTTTGTAGTCGCTTAAATTTATTGTCAACTGGCTGTGAAAAATCATGGTTTCCACTCACATCCAAAGAGGGGGGAGAGGACCCTTGTGGGCTTTCTCTGAGGTCATCATCTTTCGTAATCCCTATTGGTTGATGCTGTATTCTGTGACTCTCCTTTGCTGCGTTTCTTTTTAATTCAGTTGCATGGATATGCCCGGCATAGAAGCATTTACTGAGTCCGAAGCAGATGGAACTCGACGATCTTTGTAAATATACTTGGATCATTTTAGAAGAAATAACTTTTTTTAAGCTTATCGTTGATTCCTCTGCACAAAACTTTATTCTCCCTTCTCATGTTAATGTTTGAGTCAATGTAACCTCTGATCCCGAAAATCAACGTATCTAAAAAGCACTGTACCTGTATGTTTACCCAGACTATAGACATGCCTTCAGTTTCCTCTATTTATAATTTAATCTTGAAAATCAAATCTTGAGGAATTTCCTTTCGTGGAGTATATTCCCTCCAGATCGTAACTGTAATGTTTTCTTCATAAACTAATCAAACTACACGTATGCGATCGAAGCTCAATCATTTCTAAGCCGGTCTTCTTCCGTTAAAAACACCTCAGCCATACTTCAAGTTTTCTCTTGTTTCAGTAGAGACAACACGAAGTATACAGTTCAGAAAGTTCCAACAAACCAGGTATGTTGTACATATTTATTTTGATTGATCGATATAAATACAATGCAGAGTATTTAACCTCGATTCTATCAGCGACATGAACGCAATAACAATGACTTGATGAGCAGAATTACATACACCCGTATGGGTTTACTGTAGCATACAGTGCACTTTTCCTCTAAGTGTCGATTTTTCTAAATGCATTTTAAGAAAAAGTAAGCCTTCTTTAAGCCTCAGATCTCAACAACTCTCTCTTAGAGTCCAAAGAAGCTTTGCTCGATGCCACTATGGTGTTTTTCGTGCTTCTGTGGCTCGCTCTCTAATGTAAATTAAAGTTAGTCTTAATGCCAAATCTTTTTTTTTTCGATTCTTAGGGCGATTGCAATCTTCTTCGTACACCATTGTAAGTATGTCTGCTGGAGTAAAAGCCACAAGTTTTCTATATGTTTTTATCATATTTCATCTTCGGGCCAATCCCAAAATAAGCCTCATGTTTGTTACTGTATCTTTGATTTTGTAGTGTTATGCTGCGTGTTTGTGATTAGTTTGTGATGAAATTGATATTCATTAAGTTTAACATAGAAAGCAAGATTCATTTTGGTAGAACGAAAGGTTTCAACAAATCCCGCCTTGTAGCTTTTGTTTAGGAATGTTGACTGAACTTCATTATCATATCCTTTTCCTCCATTCGGTTTTTTTCTTCCGCCTTTTATGCGGTGAAGCGAAATTGTTGTAACGAGGTTACTTGTGTCTGATTCACCTCAAGAGTTTTTAAAGTAACCTTGGTCATTTACTTGTTTACCATAGGTTCGACATAGGTGGGTACGTTTAAATGGAGTACAAGCTGTGTTTGCGTTTTTCAGACAACTTCCTCTTTCATATTTAAAAATGAAGATCAGAATCCTTGCGCGTAGAACGAAAATAAGGTTTTGCTGTTATATCAAGGAGAGTCAAATTTTATCATAAAGCCATAACAATTCTCTTTACATTGTCCACAGATACGAGACTCTACACAAAAATTGAATAAAAAAAAATTAAAACCAGACACAATTTTTATACTTTGGAGGGAGACAGCCTTTTCTTATTGATCCTGTTGTTCTTTTTTTGAGTCTATTGAGACTGTTGTGCCTGTGTTTATGTCATTAAAAAACCATACTTCAATTTGAGCCAGGTATAAATGTTTGCTAAATAAGTAATTTTTCTCTACCTTAAAACATGAGAATGACTGAAATTCATTTAGTCACTGATAGGAAATTTTGTCCCCAACAGAAGATCAAGTGGCTCGTACAAAGTAAGAAACCAACAGAGGAAAACACCTGAAGAGGTAACTCGACTATAAAAATTCAGTGTGCTTGTGGTCATTTAGTTACTCCTTACAATAATCACAACATTATAAATTTCCTGAGTAAGGAGAAATAGGAGTCTTGATTGTATCTGTAAGACTGGTAGTACGGAACTTTGGCAGAAAATAATTGAAACTATGGCAAACGGCAAGAAGTACGCACTAATTATGCTCTTAAACTTCTACGACGCAAACAACAAGAGGGTTTCTTCATGCCTCAGTTACCCACTTTGATAGCTATTTACTAGTCACAATTCGTTTTCCTCACGTCCAATTTGGTTTTTTCTCACATCCATCATTAAATTTTGGTTTAGTATTTTTTCGTGGAGTTGCCGTGGTTTCAGAATCTTTTAACAGTCACGATTGCTTTTAGACGGACAGTGTTTTCATACACCGCATTTAAGTATATGCCTTCGTATTTCACTGACGAAAAAGCAGTCAGTGGATTTATCCATCACACCTCAAAGGTTCAATATCAGAATTTTGTCAACGGCTGGAGCGTTAAAAAATAATACTATGCTGACTGTCACAAAACATTGAGACCGATAAGCAGAGAGTTATAAGACCCGGTTTTGCCAATTGGCATAAGTCCGAGTTCTGTTCAATTTTTAATCACTGCACACCAACACACTATTTCTGTCCTCAGCTTTCCATCGTTTTTTCTTAAGTTCCCTTCTTTCTAATTTGATTTTAGATGAAAAAGGTCTAAGATTTATCAACAGATTCCTATGATTTTGTAATAATTATCATTATATCATTTTAGCAAAAAAGAGAAGCTGTTTCTTTAAATTTTTATGAATCGACCCCTTATCACCGCCCGGGCAGCAGCAGTGAAATCGATGAAAACCATAATGTAGAAGACAATCTTGCAACAGACACCTCAACGATTGCAGGAAATACTGCAAGCCATGATAATGAAGGATTTGACCGCAGTCAGAGCCATGAAAGGAGCGAAGAGAAGCCTATGGAACATCAGGGGGTTTGCAAATTGGGCGAGAATACGCCTTGTTACACAAGAGCACCGAACACAGTTCGCAGAGTGAGGTTTGATTTGCGCGGGACAAAAGACAGGCAAGGAGAAAAACGAACAGTCAGGGAAAATTTTCCGGATATTGTTGTGATCAGTGAAAAAGCAGAAGGGAACTGTCAGCTTGATGAACATGAGAGGAAAAGAGTGTGTGACAACGAGGAAGCTAGCGACGAAGACGGCAAAGGAAAAGAGCCGGCTGGTGTTAGTTCTATATTCAAAGACACAAGAAGATCAGCCTCAGTGGCCGCCATAAGCGATGAGGAAGGAACAGTAGTGGAAATTTAATAACATTTTTCACTCCTCTGTAAGATTAGGCTGAAGATACTGTCTGCAAAAAGACCTCTATGTCACCTTTCATTTGGTCCTTTGATTTCCTTTAAATTGATGTGCTAGAATGTTTTTCGCGTTTTTTTGGGAATTAATTTTTTTCTTCACATTGTACATAGCTTCAATGTAAGTCAGCATTCAGGCAACTATGTACAGACCTTATGGCCGATATCTTGAAGGGCTTAAGCTCAAAGTTCCACTTGGTTTGATTTCTCTATAGACCATGTACAATAAGGGTAGCTTTTGGGTCATTTTCGTCTGGAAGCCTAGGTTTCATTCAAACAAGTTCCCAGGATTTGAACTCGCCCGGGTTAAATATCAACGCGAATCTTAGTTACGATAATCATTTGTGATGAAACTAACGTAGTATGTGATAAATTTATCTCTCAATTCTAAACTCATTTGAGCTAGTGAGAAAAATTCAATATTGTAAACAAGGGTAGCTAAGCTCGAATTATGTAAGTGAGTTAGTTTTGTTCGGCCACTTCAAACTTAGTTCGATGCGCAGAATCTTCTGAGAGTTTGCTATTGGAAATAAATGATGGTCACTTTGGTTAGTTAGTTAGGTATTTGCTATATTCGATCTCTAACTACAGAACGTGCTCAGTGAAACACCGGCTAAATTTAGCAAGCGACCTACATTTTAAATTTTCTTTAATTCTACAGACGCTATGAGAATGCTCATCGTGAGAAGAGTGCGCTCATTAAAAGTGTTCAAATGATCTATCGTACGCGTGGCGTTGCAAACACTTCCTTAGCGAAATGATGAACAGGTACTCTAAATATAAAAGCAAATGAATGTGAAAAACAGAAAAAAAACCCTCCAAAACACGTGAACTGTTTCACATTTTCGTCTCTTAATTCGATGTGTAATCAGTTGTTATTGTCACTGGACTTCGCCGCTTGTTCCAAGTTGGTGGTGTGCCAACTACAATATGGAAAACTTCCGCAATGATTGGGACGCCAGACGACGCTTAAAGCTGCAAATTATAACAATCACAGACAAAGAGGATTCACCACATAGGATATTAGTTATAACCATAAACAGCAATGTACCAGGATGGCGAACCAGATGAGGACTTCAGAATTAATACAAGGAGAAGAATTGAAAAATCAAAAGTTGTCGAAACCTAAATCATTCCGAACTCCGACCACCTATTCAAGAGCTAAAATTTGCAAGCGATAACATTTGGAAGTGCGTCTTTTAGAATGAGGGTGCTTAATATTAACAAAATCAATTTCGAGGGGCACTTATAAGAGAGAGAGCGCTTATTAGAATGGGAACGCTAATTCGCCTCACCATAGTTTACTAAAAATTCCCAAAAAGCCTACTTTTGGAAAGTAAAAGTCTACAACTTCCTCTCGTTCAATTTTCCCAAAGTTTGACAATGAACTTAGTTTGATCCTTCAACAAGGAAAATCTGTTTCGCTATTTTAGCAAAGCCTACTCCAAGTACTGCGAAATGATTGGTTTAGTCAGTCCACTTGCCGAATTCAGCCCTTTCTCTCTAATTGGGATGGTATCATTAAGCTTTCATGCTTGCGTTGCACGCCAGAACAATTCATTAATAATATGTACAAAGAACGGCCTTTGTACGCGATGAGTGAATTCGCGCTGACCTAACCTTTTCTCTGTATTTCTGGGACTGACTGCGTGCTCGGACGATCGAGAGCGGGAACGTGGCCTGTTGACGAAGAAATTCAAGAAAATAGGTTTAATTACATTGCATCGATAAGTCATGTTAAGTAATTGTCCAGTAAAGCAGCAAATGACAGAATTTAATCAATGAAGATCAAAAGGAACTTCCAGTACCGGTGATCAGTGTTCTTTCGTTTCTTTTTCCAAGTTTTCCCCATGGACAGAGGCAATGCCACAATGCAGAAAGGGAAGAAGGCAGAAGACTGCACGGATGGCGCGATATGGGCGTGAACCGAAATCACCAGCGATTTCAACCAATGAGAGATGCGATGACAATTAAGAAACCTCCTTTGAGTCATACACATTTGAACGATTGGTGGACATGCCACGCTTCGTAGATATTTTACTTATTTAACGCCATAGTTGGCCTCCGGTCCCTCAAGTTCCTTAGAGCTGCGTTATACTATACTTCCAAACTCAACCTACAGTACACCGTTTACGTGATCTCAGGGTTTGATTGATTTGGGTTGCAGCGAAAACGAACGCGTTACGCTTTAGGGCTTCACCGATGAAAAACAGTTAAAAGCTTGGCAACTTCTCTGTTCGCAAAGTGATCATTCATCAGTTGAAAAAAAGGGAAATCGCCGACGATTAAATTAAACGCTTAACTGGAGATCGCTTCATTTCCTTTAATTTTCCTATTTGTTGCTTTCTCAATTTATGTTCGAAAACACTGGTGCCCTTTTAAAATTTATTACCGCCGCCCCTTGACGTCCTTATTTAAAAAAAAGATCAGAGCTTGCTGATGTGAACGTTCGACCCGACTGACGCCAGTACATGTCACAGCGCCGCTCTTCTTTCCTACAAACCGGTCCGGCTGCCAAAGGCAGAACGCCATAATGAAGAGTCGTCTCCGAGTTTTTTGGAGCTTTTCGCTCGATTGCAAACTAGAGATATAAATGATATGTCACCAAATCCGTTTACGTGGCGATGAAAGTTTTTCTTACTGGCTGAAAAAAAAAAAAGAACAAGATATCTTCTGTTCGCATATGTGGGCGTGGATTTTTCGTGTAAAACGATGCACAGTAGGGATGCATAATGCAATGGCACAAATAAGCCTTGAAACGAATTTATCAGGACAAATACTATAATTTAGCATATTCAGGTTCCGTAAAGATAGGTTTCTTTATTTGGTTTCGGCAAAACGGCTTGCGCAACGTCTGCACTATTCCGGTTGCCAAAGCTTCTAAGCAAGAAGTACGTGGTGGCTTCTGCAGAGCGGAACATTCTTCAGTTTGAATGCAAAAAGCTTTAAGTGAAAAGCACATCGAGGAAGCTTTGGAGAGGTTTTTCCTACGGAATTTTTAATTTCAGAAAAGGAGCCGGCAGAAGAAAAAAACCAATCATAGCGCACTTTGACGTTAGCGGATCGACTGAAAGGCCCTCTGTCGTAAATGATCTCGCAACAAACAATCACAGTGGCTTGATGTACACTATTTCATTCTCCTACTCACTTGCAACTCAGATCTCATAGTCAATCAAATCACCTATCATATTTCTGTTCTTCCGTCACGAACCTGTCAACAAATTCAGTGTAACGCTTCGGTCACGACACTCTCCCCCTATTTGACTGTCGTTGAGGCAAATATAGAACGCGATAAATCTACTATCTTAAAACACAACTGAAACTAATTTGAAAGTGAAATGTCACTTGCAAAGTCTAATCCTCGTTTAATTCGTCTTGACCTACGGCAGCTATTCGCTGCCGTGCATCTGCTGCGGCTGTTCTCGGCTGGAATTCTCTGGCGTCAGCTCTTAGCGTCTCTCCTCTCCTTCGCTCAGGTCTGTCGCAGGTTAATTCAAGAGGAAACAGCAGCTGCAATGGTCTCTCTCTCTCTGTGTCTTCCCAGCTCTAAGCTGCGCCCCTCTTATCACTCCATCTCGACCTTGAATCAGGTGTTCCACCACACCAATCTTCCATTTGCTTCTGTTACGCTCCTCTCCCTCGATAAGCATCACGTTCCCTTCTTTAAAGGTAGCTTCTTTCGTTTAATGGTTGAGATTGTGACGCTCTCTTAGGGCCTTTAAGTATTCGGTTGTCCATCTTTTCCATAGGACATCCTCACATTTCCGTAAGTACTTGGCGCGTTTTCTGAGGTCATAATCTTCAACGTTTGTTGGTTCTTCTTCAGGAATTTGATTTGGCTGTCCAAACAGCACAAGGGTGGGGATCAAAACTGGCATTTAAATATCGTCTTCTTCATGACCAAGGGGTCTGTTGTTAAGGGTTGTCTCCACAGTCAAGATGACTTCTTCCAATTCATGCCAGCGCAGGTGACCGTTTCCGATTGCTTTGTACGTACTCTACTTTATGACGCTTTTATCTTTCTAAATGACCGGCCCACCATAGAGCTCTACTGAGATTAAACTGCCACTGGATGTTTTACTTGGCTAGCCAGTCGTTCATCTTCTCATCTTGTTGAACTTTCTTTTACCATTTGGATGCTAAAACGAAGGTTCTCTCATCATCGGAAAAGATTTTCTCTGACCTTCCTTGTCTCGTCACGAAACGTTCCATACTGCATAAAAACTGTTTCGTTGTTTGATCTGGTAGTAGATCCGAATAGAAGGTACGGGCTAGGCTGCATGCATGTAGTAGAATATACGATTTCATCTTCTATTTATTCTTGTTGAAGTACTTGATAGGCCCAGCAAAGTCGACCCCGATAAACTTGAGAGCACTGATCCTTCTGTTCTTTCCTTTAGTAGGTTTCCAGTCGGTGGATTTGCTAAGGTGGTTACTTGAAAGCGTTTACACTCATGGCACTCATTTATCACTCTCTCTGTTAGTCTTCCGAGGCGAGGTATCCAATATTTCTCTCGTATCTTCGCCATCGTCAAACTGACTCCCCCATGGAGAGTCTGCAGGTGGGCGTGCATTACCAGCTTTTTGCTAAACAAAGCATCATCTGGGAGATAAATGGGGGTAGTCTCCTTGGATACGCCCTCTGTATTCATACAGTCCATCTGTATTCTTATGGAGATTGAGATGTAGCTGGTCTTCATGAAACCTTGCTCGTATCCTGGCATATGACTCGTGTCCTTTTTTCCCACAGCCTCATCTGCCTACTAGTTTCTTGAGTGGTGATTGGTCCGGTGATTCTTCGCTGGCGTTTGATCTGCTGTTTTGAATAAATCGCGACACCCACGACCCCACTCGGATGATTGTCCATAGGTCCCTTTTCTTCCTCAGCTATTTGTTTCAACGGTGACTGCTAGTACTTTCCTGATGACTGTGGCCTCAGCTTGCGTCTCTCTGGTCGGACTTGTCACAATATCTAGAGGCCACTATTGTTGATGTCGCTCTTCATCCCAAACACTCACCTATTGGCTCATGGCTCGTGTACGACGACCTGACTGACGTCATTAGTTATTTACCTTCGTCACCGATTACAGTAGGCACATAGGGTACATAGGAACAGAGGCCCAGAAGAACAGTAGGTACAGAGGAACAGTAGGTTCAGAGGAACAGTAGGCACAGAGGAACAGTGGGCACAGGGGAAGAGTGGGCACAGGGAAAGATTGGGCACAGAGGAAGTGGGAACAGAGGAACAGTGAGCACAGAGGAACAGTAGGCACAGAGAAACAGTGGGCACAGAGGAACAGTAGGCACAGAGAAACAGTAGGCACAGAGGAACAGTGGGCACAGAGGAACAGAGGCACAGAGAAACAGTAGGCACAGAGGAACAGTAGG